TTTTTAGGGTTCGGGGTGTTTACCTGAGGAGCTGAATACCCTAGCCTCAAAAACGGCTAACCTTTTCTGCATGGTAGGATTCTAGATAACGAAAAAGGCGAAAGGTAGCCTATACCCAGTCCCTGAGCTGCGGTTGGGGCCATTCGGGGACTCTGGGTGCTGCAAAACTGAGGGTTCGTTGCCGGGGGGGAGGGGTGTTCCAATCAGGTCCCCACTTATCACTTAGGCCCCACGTAGTGGCCGCGCGTAGACTTCGTCCCTACACACGACCCGGACGTCCCGGACTCTTGGGCCTAGCAAGCCACACTGACAAAGCTCTGATTTCAGCTCAGGATCCGATCTCAGCTGCCGGGAGGTTTCCTCGCAGGCTAGGAATGACACGCAGCTCTCGGAGGTCTAGCGCGCGAGGAGTCTGGGAACCAATCCCCGCCACAATGGCTAAGGTAGCAAGACACACTGCAGTCGAGCCACCTCCTTCCCAAGATGGGCGGGACTGCCCGGGTGCAGACTCGACGGTGCTCTGCTCAAGCGCCGTGAGACGTTGGCCTGAGCTTCTCCATGGAGTACGAAAACTCTTCCACAAGCTGACCTATGCAATCTGTCTGGACAAGGTCACTACGCTTTTGTCAAGGGCAACTTCCATAACGGGCTATTCCGACTCCCAGCTCAAAGTGACCTCCAAGGATCCAAAGTCAAAGGACCCGACCCAGGCGCTCCCGGGAGCCCCCCCCACTTCAAAGCCCAGCGTGCGTTGTGGAGCCGCCCTCCCCACACCCTCTACTTGAAGGTGACATAGCTGGCCATATTTTAAGATTCCCTGTAGAAGGAATTAGACGACGTAGCATTCTGGTAACCTCAGGCAGAACCGGGCAAGACCAAAACACTAAACCCGAAACCCTAAACCCTAATGAGCATTCAAGTCAAGCCCTTTGCGGGTTTCCCGAGGACCCAACCGCCACCCAGTTGGCCAAGGTCTCGGTGGTCTCAGGTGCTTCTGCCTGGCATGAGCGACAACAGTCCTTTTCAGCAAACCCTGAACGGCCCCTGGAAACCCTAAACCCGAAACCCTAAACCAAGGTGCCTCCACCGCCTCTGTCGTCACGGCCGGGACCTCTCTCGTCATAATTCGAGCGACAGGCTGCGATGACCTCGGCGCAGGTGGAGAGCGCTACACTTTCTCGGGCGATGCCAGAAAGTTCCCAAAAAGAGGCGGAGCTGGAGGTAAGATAGGGGCCTTCATAGTCAGAATAGCGTTTTGATGGGGTTATTATAGTATAACTACTCCAAACCAGGACCATAAGGGACTACTACTAGTAATCATTCCGACCCCTATACACTACGAAGGATGCGGCTCTCCACTGAAGGCAGGGAACGGAGGTGAGGGCGGCGATGCCGGCTTGGGCGATGGGCTCAGTGCATCCACTTCGACGGCGTCGACCTCTGCGGCCGCGCCGAGCTGGGCTTGCTCCGCATCCTTCTTAGGGTTTAGGTTTAGGGTTTATAGGGTTTAGGGTTTAGGGTTTAGGGTTTAGGGTTTAGGGTTTAGGGTTTAGGGTTTAGGGTTTAGGGTTTAGGGTTTAGGGTTTAGGGTTTAGGGTTTAGGAATCCAGGGAATTCAGGGCATCCAGGGGCTCCTGGGGCTCCAGAGCCTCCTGGGGCTCCCATGGCTCCGGGGTCAGAAGATCATCCAGCAGGTTCGCGCTGGAGACCCTCCTCTCATCTCGAGAGGTCTCTCCGCCAACCTTTGCGGTCTCAAACTGCACTCAAGTCTACGAAGCTATGAAAAAATCACCCCCCCCCCCCCCCCCCGGAGGCGCGCTGGCCGACACGATTGCCAAGGAGCAGCGCTGGAAGCTGTCTGAGCTCGCGGAGCCTGCGGGGCGAAGGGGTTTAAGTTGAGGTAGACGAAACGAGGCAGTGCGGCCCCGCACCTGCTCATGCGCCACAGCCTCTGACGCCATCGTGTCCAAGCCACCCAGCCCAACCATGGCCTGAGAGGGTTCAGGGGCTGAGGAAAGCGATCCTTTGGGGGTGAGTGCCTCTCTTGTTGTTTGCGGCCATGAGATTTTAGGAGAAGACTCTCGCAACACAAGGCCGCATCTGGGATGTAAATGTAAAGTGCACCTGGCTGTCGTGTCCGGCTACACGGGCCGACTCCTCAGCTTCCGAAGACTTGAAGCATTTAGGCAGGTTGAAGCACAGCGATTGTGCAAGTGGCTTGCAGAGATGACCCGGTATGAGGAAATTATCAGCTAAGCTGCTTCCTCGCTCAGCTCGGTCGATTCGTCCCGTTGTTCGGCCCTCGCAGCGTGTTGGTCGGCGCTGGTTCCGGTCCGGCTGACGTTCTGCGGATCCTGATGTTCAGCAGTCATCAAGACTTTTTCGGATACCTGGGTGATACCATACCATTGTTTGCATCACAGTGCTTGGTTCAATACGCATTAAAACGTCCATGGTTGTCTTGCCAGAAAAGCAGTGTCGTGGCCCGAATGGCAGCTTCTAGGTATGCATGTCCCCAGATCTGGAAAACTTTCGCAAAAATTGCTGAACCCTCAACGCCACACCGCAAGCCCTCGCGCTTCCGTTTCCACGCACCCAAGAGTGGATTGCACTCTTTTCTTGCAGGCAACGAGAACCTCCACTCAGCAGTGAGAGCTCTCAGATCAGGATGCGCAACCCTGAACCCTATACAACCAAAAAGCCTTTCGAGGCCCAACAAGCCCTGAAGTCGCTCGGGCCTCAAATGCAGCTGGCGCGTCCAAGCGCGGCAGCTGGCCCGGCTTGGCCAGAGATAGACTCGCCCTCTCTCCGACCTGCCCCGGCCATCCAATTTTCCCGAGGCACCTAAACCCCTCAAGCACCGCAAGCGAATAAAACCCCCAAGCCCCTGAACCCTCAAAAGGCTCTTGAGACCCGGAAAGAACATCTTGGAAACTCTTTATCAACCCTAGAAACCCCTACAAACCCCTCAAAAGGCCCCAAACTAGGCATGCGACTGCTCACCTGAATCAGAAGGCTCGGCTGAAGCCAAACCGTATAGCTATTGCATGCGCATGTATATAAACACGAGGAGGGAGGAGGCGCCTGGTGGCTCGGGTCACCGGCCAGGCTAGAGACGAGCTTACTCTCCAGCTCGACAGGGGGGACGGAGGGCCGCTCGTGCACGATGCCTGCGCAAGGCGGGGGTTGATCTACAAATTCTGGAAGCTGAAACTATGAAGAAGAAACTAAGGGTTACTCCGTAGCAATCCCCCAGTGAGAGTTGTTCTAAGCGGCACTCCCTCTTTGAGGGCCTTTGCAGACGGAATTCTATTACAAAGGGCACGAGTATCTATGAGGAGGGACCTAGAACAGAACAGCCCCCAAATGGGGCTGCGGCTTAGGGGTTTCCGTGCTGGTGCAATCATCTAGGGCTCAGGGGTTCCAGTGCGTGTACACGTCGAACGAGGAAAGCAGCAAACGACACTGCTGTTCCCAGGCAAGGCCACAAGGGGAGGAATCCCCAATGCACAATCATCCTAGGCCGCATCCTGATCTTAGGGGCTGAATGCCCCAGCCCACAAAAGGGCAACCTTAGTGACAACCTTGCTTTTTGTAATAGGATTATATTGTTTACCCAAGAAGGTAACTACCCAGCCCCTAAGTGATCCCTTGGACCGTGAAGCACCAGGCCAAGAGCCTGAAACAGTCTCGCCATTGCCGCCGCTACTCGCCTCGGCTTTTCTGAGCACACCTATAACATGTATGGTATTTTGGGGAGAAGAAGGGATTGCGCCAATTTTCTCGGAAATCCCCGAATGGCTCGTAGACTGCGACACAAGCTAAACTGCTGGGAAGGCGCCGATTCTTCCAACGGCACCACTTCTTGGTTGAGCCTCTGCTCCTGCTCCTCACACGCGCACACGCACACACACGCGCACGCACACACACACACACACACAGACACTCAAGGCTTCGTCCGTGGAAGGCAAAGGGAACATTTTTGCCAGTGTCTGGAATCACCAACAGCCAAAGAGACCCCAACTCCCCAAGACAATCCTAAAGCCTAGGGGTGTCGGAAAGGTTCACCCTGGGCTTGGATGCACAGCATTCCTAGCAAAGTCTCGTCTCACCTTACTCCAAGATCATCCCAGCAGGCACAGCTCCTTGACAGGCTGTTCCTCACCCTGAGGGTGAGACCGTTGACTCTGGCCACTGAGGGGTTTGGCCCCGAGCGAGTCTGCTGTTTTCTGCCTCGTCGGCTGCATTGGCAAAGGGGGTGAAGTCAGGGGCTTCGGGGGTGGCACTGGACATGTCCCGAAATCCACAGTTTGCGGCATCTCGTGATCTACCTCCTATAGTATCGACAACCAACTTCAGAGCGACTCCATCAAACCGCAACAGAGGGGTGAAGGACAAGCCAGCCAAGGATTCATGGAATAGAACTTGAACAACACAGGCACCCTTTTGTGAACTCACTCAGGTATACATTCTTGGGCTCTGTGGAAGGCGCCTGCGCTTCGGCGAGCGCGGCGAGCGCGGCGAGCGCGGTGAGCGTGGTGAGCCCGGTGAGCGTGGCGAGCCTGCTGAGCGTGGCGAGCCCGCTGAGCGTGGCGACCGCGGTGAGCGTGGCGACCGCTGTGATCGCGGAGACGACCGGCTTGCTGACCTTGACATCCCCATAGAAGCAGTGGGAGGACAGCCGCGTTCTGTCTGGGTAAGTTTTAGGCTTGACGACTTAGAAGTCCGTACATGTGCGGGGGCTCCTCTAAACGCCCTGGGCTCCTTATAGCTTCAAACTTCTCAACGGGTTCGCATGCGATAGGTCTGTGAGAAGCCAAGAGTCCCTTCCGACTCCGACGCCGGCTCGTGCGCAGCCTTGGCCGCGGAGTCCCCGGCATCGGCAGCCACCATCCCGAAGCCCTGGGATCGTTTAGGGTTTAGGGTTTCTGGTTTAGGGTCTAGGGTTTAGGGTTTAGGGTTTAGGGTTTAGGGGTTTAGGGTTTAGGGCATCTAAGGGCTCAGAGGCTTCGGGGGCTGATGGCTCCGACTGTTCTACCCTCCACCCTCACTTGCCAAGCCACGTCTTCCTTTTGGCTGTGGTCAGTCATCACGAGCGCCGCAGTGTTGTGGGAGTCCATCCCCGGCTCTGCACCCACATCCTGCACATCCTCCGCGTCATCCTCATCCTCCCAAGCTTCGCCCTCCACGGCCTCCCGTACTTCCGGGTCCTCCGGGGCCTCAAGGGCCTCAATGGCCCGCGGGCTCGCGACCTGCCAGGGCAAGGGCCAAGCGCGAAGGCACAAACTCGCGTTTGAGAAGTTCCGAAAATCAGCAACGCCAGCCCGCCTGCAGCTGTGAAGCATTGGGAGACCCTTCAGGCTCGAACTGCTCCGAGTGCTCTGAGTGCCCGGGCTTCTGACGCTCGCCTAGCAGCGAGTCGTGCCGATGCACGCTCGTGGCATGGGTTGCTCAGCCGACTTTGTTGTGTCGGTGCCATCTCAGGAGGACGTAGCCTGCTACAGCCACTGCAGCCGAGGTGCGAGGGTCAGGTTCTGCAGCGGCAGCGGCAGCAGCGGACTTTGCATGTGCAGGCGTTGCGGGCTTTGTCGGCTTTGCGTCTGCGTGCTCCTTGGGCAAGAGCTGCGCCTCCTGGCCAGAGCCAACCGACTTGCCGTAAGGCCTGCCATGCTTGGGCTTAAGCAAATGCTGTAATCAACATGTTTATCATGTTTCTGAGCTTCCGTTTTGAAGCCTGCCATGCTTGGACGTCTGCAACAAGCAAGGTGGGACGCTGATGCTTTAAAGGGGCCTACCACCAAAATGGTTTCAAAAATATATGCAATGGGCTTGACTGACTCAAATGCCGTGGTAGGGTCGCTCAACTCTTTGTCGCGGCTATTGACAGAATTGTAAGGCCTCCAGGACCCCTTTTCCTCGACTACCGCGCAAAAGAATTCAGATCCAACCCAGCAAAGCAAAGTCGTCTTGCAGGCTGAGACTGCAGCTCCTCCAGCGGCGCGCCCTCCAGCCCATCCAGCCTGGCCGACAGCTCGCAAGTGTTGGCTGCTTCTTCACCGATGGTAGCTGCGCGTAAGTCATCATTTGCACATTGGTATTTGTAGAGTGGGCATACGTTCGGTCGCACGCAGCTGAGATTCACTGGCCATTCCTAGTCGAGCATCGAAAGCCCTAAACCATAAACCCTAAACCCTAAACCCTAAACCCCCATCAACCCTAAACCCTCTAAACCCTAAACCCCCGAAACCCAAAAAACCCTAAACCCTAAACCCTAAACCCCCTAAACCCAAAAAACCCTAAACCCTAAGCCCCCTAAACCCAAAAAACCCTAAACCCTAAGCCCCCTAAACCCAAAAAACCCTAAACCCTAAACCCCCTAAACCCAAAAAACCCTAAACCCTAAACCCCCTTAAGCCAAAAAACCCTAAACCCTAAACCCCCTAAACCCAAAAAACCCTAAACCCTAAGCCCCCTTAAGCCTTGCTTCCGTTCCATCCAAGGTCTCGGTCACCTCGATGGGCTGGTCTGCCTCGCACTAACCCTACACCCCCAGACTCCTGGGAGGATCCAAAAAGTAGATCCCCTTAATGGTTAGGGCTTAGGGTGTAGGGCTTAGGGCTTAGGGTTTAGGGTTGAGGGCTTAGGGCTTAGGGTTTAGGGCTTAGGGTTTAGGGCTCAGGGTTTAGGGCTTAGGGTTTAGGGCTTAGGGTTTAGGGCTCAGGGTTTAGGGCTTAGGGTTTAGGGCTTAGGGTTTAGGGTTTAGGGTTTAGGGTTGAGGGGTTCCTAAGAGTGACCCGATTGTAGGAAAGGGTACAGGGGCTCGGGAAAGTCGACCCTTTAATTGGGGGGAGGCGTGAAACCCCAATGAACGCAGAGGGTTCAGGAAGTTGACGAAGTCGACTGCGGGATCCTTTCCCCCCAATCAACGCATCAGCTACGAAAAGCAGCGAAAATCAGTACGCAAGTATCGAAATCCCCAAGGAACGCTGGGGCTCAACATGCCTGAAAACATCATCCAACATGGTTGCTGAAGGACCTCCGCCCGAGTGAAACGCAAGCAAAGCATGGAGACAAGCCTACCAAAACTTACGAAGAAGAGGCAACCATTTCTCTGAACCTATATCGCATCGTATAGCCAGCATGGCTTATGACACGCATGCATGGGATTGTGGACAATTCCGCCCGAGGGAAACGCAGTTTCGGTCGACTTCCTAAAAGCTTCCCCGCAGTGATTTGCCTTACCGCAAGAAAAAAGGTCAACTTTCCACGTTGCGTGTACTCTTTGGGGGTTGTACTTTTTGGATCCTCCGAGGGCTCTGGGACTGGGGCCGACGCGAAGTTCAGATCAAGGACACTCTTGCGCCCGCGGCACCGTCGATTCTTCTATGATAAACGCGCAATCGGTGCAGCCACACATGGGAAAATGATTCTTTTTCTGATACGGAAACGGCTGATTCAGAATTGTAAGAGCCCGATTATGAAAACAGCTCTTCATAGCACAGGCCATTTTTGTTCACTGTAAAAGTCGCTTTCGAGCGACAATCGGCGCGGCGCCTGTCATCATTAAAACGGCTCGCGCAGGCAAATTGATGTGAGCAAGCGATAAACTCATGTGGACACGGGTAACATAGAGCCATATGAGACAATACAGAATGGCATAGAGTGATATAGAACATTGTAGAACAATATAGAATAATATATAGAAGAATCTAGAATTATTTCGAATAACAAAGAATCATATAGAATAACAAAGAATCATATAGAATGATAAAGAATAACATTAAAAAAAGTATACAATGTGACATGAATTAATCGCTCCCAATTACGAACTCGTGGGCATCACAAGCCTCTTCTGGGACCTCTTCCTCGCCGCTTTCCAGCAAGCTGTCCTCCTCCTCGTCACCCTTCGGGGACGAATCCGGGATGAACGGGATGTTAGCTGTTTAGCTGTTTAGGGTTTGGGGTTTAGGGTTTAGGGCTTAGGGTTTAGGGTGTAGGGTTTAGGGTTCCGCTGGGTTTAGGGATGTGGGCCTCTACAGGGTTGAGGCATCATGCCCCGGCGCCCAAATGCCATGTCAAGCTCGACTCGACCACCCTTCAAGAGCCCTGAGCCCTGAGCCCTGAGCCTTAAGCCCTAAAACCTAAACCCTAAACCCTAAACCCGAAGCCGCCTCGAGCCGCAGGCCAGGCCCCACTTCTGCCAGCGTCTCCGCTCCCATGGCCAGACGGTTGGCCACCTCAGCTCATCCCTCGCAAGTCTCTGAAAGCGACTCATATAACTAGCACATAATGAAGATTAGACCCTTCTATCACAGTTTGCATAACAGTTAGAAGAGTGTATACTTATACTTATACGCATCACAAGTATCTTTAAGTACATAACGAAGATTAGAATCTTCTATCAGAATTTGCGAGAATGCGGCTTCATCTGCAATAACATAGTAGCGTACATAGTTCATGTATCAGAGTATCTTTACAACTACCAGTTCGGATGCTGTCCCCCCCCCTGAAGCTTTCAAGGCGGCACACCTACGAAGAACCCGAGAGGCCCTTCAAGAACATTCATTGCTCCGGCATCTTCCCGACCTTCTAAGTCGACCTGGGGGTCTACGACACTAGGGGACATTCAACATAGATCCCCAAAAGGAAGCGTTCCCTCAGAAATAAGGACCCCCATTAAGGTACCCCTCATGTCGGAAACCCCCCACATGAAAAGCCTCTCCTGCACGAAAGAACCTTGCCCGAGCCAGCGGCCGCGCTGAGCTGGGCTTGCTCCGCGTCCAGGGAGTCCAGGGGCTCCAGGGGGTCAGGGGGCTCCTGTACTGAACTTGGAACCCTAGCAAAATTTATTCTTTTTATGATGGTTTCTTAGGAACCCTAGCAAAATTTCGATTGTTTATGATGTTTTCTTAGGAATTATAGTACCCAAAAGATGAAAAATATATTTCCAAGTATATTCTGAGGCTCCAGGCCATCCAGCAAGTTCGCCCTGGAGAAGACCATCTCATCCCGGGTCTCCTCGCCAGCCTCTGCAGTCTTATGCTAGGCCCACAAGGCGCCTAAACCTTTCTACAAAACCCTAAACCCTAAATCATGAACCCTGAACCCTAAACGCTGACACGCTCTGAGAAAAAGCCGCGCCCCATTCAGGAGCGCAGGCCGACACGCAGGCCAAGGCGCAGCAGCGCGAGAAGCCGTCTGAGCCCGCAGAGCCTGCGTGCACCCGATCATGGTCTCAGGTGACGGCTTAGGGCTTCTTGCTTTGCTTGGGTTTCTCTCAAGGGTGAACCCGAAACCCTAAACCCGAAAGCCTATAAACCCTAAACCCTAAACCCAATTTTCAGCGGTCTATAGTAGAAGCCAAAAAGTTGGAAACTCAATAGCCTCAATCCCTGAGAGTACAGCATAGGGAATCCCAGCACTATTTGTGCTTAAAAAGGTTTCCAACTTTTTGGGGTCCCTAAACCCTAAACCCTAAACCCTGTTTACTGCAGGCTTCAAAATGCAAGAGGACGGGGGGCAGAATCGAGGCCCTCCGGGGCCGCACCTGCTCATGGGCCACCGCCTCTGACGCCATCGTGTCTAAGCCACCCAGCCCAACCATGGCCTGATGGGGTGTAGGGTTTAGGGTTTAGGGTTTAGGGTTTAGGGTTTAGGGTTTAGGGTTTAGGGTTTAGGGTTTAGGGTTTAGGGTTTAGGGTTTAGGGTTTAGGGTTTAGGGTTTAGGGTTTAGGGTTTAGTAAGGCCTGGGGTTTAGGAGTAAGGAGAGTTCAGGGTTTTGGGGGCTGAGAGGGGCTGCAAGACTCTCAAGCTGTGGGAGCCATGCCAGGCATGATGTGACTTGAGCGCAGGGCTTGAGGCGAAAGCTCGGAGCCCGACCCAGTGATAGGAGTCGCTTTGCTGGAAGACCTTCGCAAGGAATCAATTAGATCGAGGAGCTGGCTTGATGAAGCGAAGATCAACTTAGCCCAAAGAAAGACCCCACAAGGGGCCGCTGCAAGGACTGCGGGCTCCTGCCATGAGCACGTATGGTGACTTCTCTGAATCTTGGCCCCTTTTTTGGGTACCCTGAGTCAGAGGGGCCACCTTATAACAAGGGACCATGTTTCAGAGACCCCTGCTGTAGTCCAGCCTCCTAAAAAGTATAAAGACGCATGTGTATGTATAAATGACAAACATGTACTAACACATAGTACAACATACGGATATGCAAGAATACGAATAACATGCAATGATATACAACAACAGAATATGCAAGGATATGCAATAGTATACAAAAATATACAATAATATGCAAGAATATGATTTATATACGGTCATGTGCACGAATATGCAAAAACACAAAAAACACAATAACAATGTAATAGTATGCAATATACGAATGCTTGAGAAAGCAATAGCAACATACAACCACATATGATACATGATGTTATACAATGACATATATTCATGTATCTATATACATATATACATATATACATATATACATATATATATATATATGCATATGCATACGTAAAAAAGACATTGATTCTACAGATGCCCTTGTAAACCAACAGCTCTTCGAGTTGATACAGCTCCGTCGCAGAGCCCCCTCTAAAATCAGCAAGTCTGTAAGCAAAACCCCCAAACCTTGCGGACCAAGTGGAATCAAACGTTGGGAAACATATATCCCGTGCTTCCAGAACGCCTGCTAACGCAATTATGGCTCATCAACCTAGACCCTAGACCCCAAACCCTAAACCCTAAACTTAGTCCGACGAGGTCCAAGGAGCGCGAGCAGCAGTGCTGTGGAGAATGCTGAGAAGCTCCGCAGGCGTCATGTCGTCCTTTTGCCATGTGGGGTTCAGGGTTTAGGGTTTTAGGGTTTAGGGTTTAGGGTTTAGGGTTTAGGGTTTAGGGTTTAGGGTTTAGGGTTTAGGGTTTAGGGTTTAGGGGTTTAGGGTTTAGGGTTTAGGGGTTTGGGGGTTTAGGGGTTTAGGGTTTAGCTCCGCCCCCGCAGGCCCCCTTTCCCCCTCCTCCAAGAAAAGATGGAGAAATGACATTCATGTAGGTTTGTATTTCAAGGAACTGCAAAAAAAAACGACAAGCAACGAAATGAAGTACGTAACCCTCTTAAGCATGAAGACAACAGATGAGGCCCATATGGGGGAGTAGGCCGATTGGCGGGAGGGAATTCCTTGAAATGACGCGCTTAGCATCCTAAACCCTAAACACAAAGGGTAAACCCTGAACCCTAAACCCTACACCCTTAAACCCTAACCCTGAACCCTGAACCCTAAACCCCTAGACCCCTAAGCCCCTGAACTAAACCCCTAAACCCCTAAACCCCAAACCCTATACCCTAAACCCCAATGCCGGTCCTGGGCCCCCGTCTCTTTGAACTCTGGATCTTCCAGCATGATCTTCAGGGAGTCGACACCTTCGAAGACGGATTCCACGCTTTGGCCGCCCTGCCAGACATGGGTGGGGTTTAGGGTTTAGGGTTTAGGGTTTAGGGTTTAGGGTTTAGGGTTTAGGGTTTAGGGTTTAGGGTTTAGGGTTTAGGGTTTAGGGTTTAGGGTTTAGGGTTTAGGGTTTAGGGTTTAGGGTTTAGGGTTTAGGGTTCAGGGCTCCAACTTGCAATTGCAGGTCTCTCGGAAGCCTCATGCACGGAGAGCCGGCGATACCTAAGCCAAGGAAAAACGAAAGCTGGGATGGAAGTCGGTGTGCCCAAACAAGGCCTTACGGCTTCCGCCAAGTCACGCAGAGGTCACATCGCCATGAAGCTTCCTCCGCTTCTCGAGATTTAGCTGAACACGCTTGGTCCATGTCTGGCTGACTGCCACCAGGTCCTGCAGCAGAAGGGTCGGCCGTTACCCGGCATGGAGCCCCCTGTTCAGTTGACACAACTCGCGTACCCTAAACCCCTGAACCCTAAACCCTGAACCCTGAACCCTAAACAGCAAGTCCTCATCCACGACGGTGGGCAGGCCCATCAGCAAGCCCCCGACGGCGTGGTATGCACCCTCGGACCTTGTCAGAGTCCAGCATGACTCTAGCCTCTCCAAGCCACGGCCTCGCCACCCTCAAACCGTAAATTTGGGGTTCAGGGTTCAGGGTTCAGAGTTCAGGGTTCAGGGTTTAGGGTTTAGGGTTTAGGGTTTAGGGTTTAGGGTCACTAATCCCCAGACCCCCTAACCCACGGTCGCTGCGGTTTGTGCTTGCTGGATCAAAGGCAGTCGGTGTGGAGATCTGACCTGCTAAGCCCTTCCCAATAAACCCTAAACCCTAAACATTAAACCCTAAACCCTAAACCCTAAACCCTAAAACCCTAAACCCTAAACCCTAAACCCTAAACCCTAAACCCTAAAACCCTAAACCCTAAACCCTAAAACGAACTCTCTGCCGGCATGCTGCTCACCGCTGTGTTGGGCCTGGTTCAGTCTTGGAGAGGATGGTCTTAGCTTTGGTCACTAGGCAGGTTACTACAGCACATGCATGAAAGGGGTTCCGTTGCATCGAGGGCTTCGGGTTCAAAGGCCACGAACACTGGCAACTGCGAGTCCGGCGTCCAGGATATCCGGTAGCTGTCCCGGAAGCAGAAACTCAAGCATGAACCAACTGCCTAGCCTTGCGAGCCTCAACCCCAACGAAACTCCGAAGCTTTGCCTGTGGAGCCCTAAACCGAACCTTACCGTCCCACGGCGACTGTAGAGAACTCCCTGTTAAGCTCCGTGGAACCACACTAAACACAATCTGCTAAACACAATCTGCTGTTCATGGTCCCATAGGGTTGATATGGAACCAAGAAACATACCTTCCCCGATCCAAACCCTAAACCCTAAACCCTAAACCCTAAACCCTAAACCCTAAACCCTAAACCCTAAACCCTAAACCCTAAACCCTAAACTTTGCCCTAAACCCCTTTTGACCTCCCCCTGAGGCCTCTTCCACCAGCCTCGCACCGGCCCGCAGCCGCCCACACCGCTCACCCAGCTTCCATGTCAGGTCGGTGAGCCAGCGCATCTCCTGCACAGTAGGGTTGAGGGTTTCGAGTATGGGGCTGAGGGTTTAAGGCTAAGGTTCAAGGCACAAACAGGTTTTTGCAACTCTGCCATCTGCCATGCACCGGCTTGCGGTTTGCATGCTCTGTTTCGGCCGGAAGGGATGTGTGAGCAAAAAACACTGGGTACTGCTGTGCTCACCCTGAGGCTGACATCACCAGGTTCGGATGTTCGCGTGTGCACGGATTGTATAATGGCTAACGGGAAGCCCGCTTTGTTGATGCTTGACACCTCCTCGGTCACACCGGAATGCACACGCAAGCCTACTAGTCAAGAAAAGCCTTTTGATACAGGAGTCTTGAACATCCTGAGCCGAAAACACTGGGTCTGTTCAAGAGAAGTTCTTTCGGACTTGAAGCGTCGGCTTTCGAACTTTGCAAAGAAAGATTCAGATCTTTTCGCATTTCCAAATTCATCATCATTTTCAGTTCATTGGTGTCAGTCCATTCATTTCATTTAATTTCATTTCTTTAATTTCATTTCATTTCAGTTCAGCTCATTTCCTGTAAATCACTCATTCATTCATTTCACTTCACTTCACTTCATCTCAGTTCATTTCATGTCATTTCATTTCATTCCATTCATTTCATTCATGTCTTTCTCATTTCAGTCACTTCATTCATTTCATTCATTTCATTCATTTCATTCATTTCATTCATTTCATTCATTTCATTCATGTCATTCATGTCATTCATGTCATTCATGTCATTCATGTCATTCATGTCATTCATTTCATTTCATTCATTTCATTCATTTCATTCATTTCATTCATTTCATTCATTTCATTCATTTCATTCATTTCATTCATTTCATTCATTTCATTCATTTCATTCATTTCATTCATGTCATTCATGTCATTCATGTCATTCATGTCATTCATGTCATTCATGTCATTCATGTCATTCATGTCATTCATTTCATTCATTTCATTCATGTCATTCATGTCATTCATGTCATTCGTTTCATTCATGTCATTCATGTCATTCATTTCATTCATTTCATTCATTTCATTCATCTCATTCATTTCATTCATTTCATTCATTTCATTCATTTCATTCATTTCATTCATTTCATTCATTTCATTCATTTCATTCATTTCATTCATTTCATTCATTTCATTCATTTCATTCATGTCATTCATGTCATTCATTTCATTCATTTCATTTCCTTTCATTCATTTCATTCATTTCATTCATTTCATTCATTTCATTCATGTCATTCATGTCATTCATGTCATTCATGTCATTCATTTCATTCATTTCATTTCCTTTCATTCATTTCATTCATTTCATTCGTTTCATTCGTTTCATTCATTTCATTCATGTCATTCATTTCATTCATTTCATTCATTTCATTCATTTCATTCATTTCATTCATTTCATTCATTTCATTCATGTCATTCATTTCATTCATTTCATTTCCTTTCATTCTTTTCATTCATTTCATTTCCTTTCATTCTTTTCATTCATTTCATTTCATTTCGTTTCATTTCATTTCATTTCGTTCATTTCATTCATTTTCATTTCATTCATTTCATTCATTTTCATTTCATTCATTTCATTCATTTCATTCATTTCATTCATGTCATTCATGTCATTCATTTCATTCATTTCATTCATTTCATTCATTTCATTCATTTCATTCATTTCATTCATTTCATTCATTTCATTCATTTCATTCATTCATTCATTCATTCATTCATTTCATTCATTTCATTCATTTCATTCATTTCATTCATTTCATTCATTTCATTCATTTCATTCATTTCATTCATTTCATTCATTTCATTCATGTCATTCATGTCATTCATGTCATTCATTTCATTCATTTCATTCATGTCATTCATGTCATTCATTTCATTCATCTCACTCATTTCATTCATTTCATTCATTTCATTCATTTCATTCATTTCATTCATTTCATTCATTTCATTCATTTCATTCATTTCATTCATTTCATTCATTGCATTCATTGCATTCATTGCATTCATTGCATTCATTTCATTCATTTCATTCATTTCATTCATTTCATTCATTTCATTCATTTCATTCATTTCATTCATTTCATTCATTTCATTCATTTCATTCATTTCATTCATTTCATTCATTTCATTCATTTCATTCATTTCATTCATTTCATTCATTTCATTCATTTCATTCATTTCATTCATTTCATTCATTTCATTCATTTCATTCATTTCATTCATTTCATTCATTTCATTCATTCATTGTATTCATTTCATTCATGTCATTCATTTCACTCATTTCATTCATTTCATTCATTCATCCATTCCTTCCTTCCTTCCTTCCTTCCGTCCTTCCTTCCTTCCTCATTGATTCTTTCAATTATTTCATTCAATGTTGCATTCATTTCATTTCTTTTGATTTGATTTCATTTCATTTCGTGTCACTTCGTTTCGCTTCATTTCATCTCCTTTCATTTCATTTCAGTCATGTCATTGCATTCATGTCATGCATGTCGTTCATGTCATTCGTTTCATTCATGTCATTCATGTCATTCATGTCATTCATGTCATTCACGTCATTCATGTCATTCATGTCATTCATTTCATCTCACTTAATTTCATGCCATTCCATGTCATTCCATGTCATTTCATTTCATTCCATGTCATTCCGTTTCATTCCAGTTCATTCCATTTCATATCATTCAATTTCATTCATTCATTCATGCATGCATGCATGAATTCATTCAGCTAAAGCAGCAATTGTAGAAATGTTGAGTTTGAGCCTTTCTTCAACAAGCGCCTGTCGCGCGAACCTCCATAACTCCAAAAACCCCAAGGAAGCAGGATGGTCTAACCATCAATGGCAGATTTCCCAGGATTCCCTGAAGGGAACCCTGCAATTTTTTCAGAGCCATAAACTCTGGCCTCTCATGGTTTGGAGCGGGGACCGTTGGCGTACGGAAGCAGCTGAAAAAGGAGGCGCTTGCGCGCTTCGGTGAGCATTGCATGTTGTGCTTCAGCATTTGCGTGCGGAGTCAGGGATCTTTCAGGACATTCTTGTAAGGGTACAGTTATGGAAGTTATGGAAAATGTGCACAGGGCTTCGTCCCGAGAGAGTTGACCGACGCTGCTGACCTTTTGGGGGGGTTTGTAGGTTTGGGCCGGCCAATTGTGGAAAACTTTTTCAAGCTCGAGGGCTCCACTTTTGATGCCTTGCAAGCCCTAAACCCTAAACCCAAAGGGCACATGCACATGTCCATTCCATCTTGGCGTGGGGGGCTCCTCTCGACTGGTCAGGTCTGCAAGGAGCAAGGAATTGTTCTGCGCTGGCGCTTGCAGCCATCGGGTTGTCGTCTCTGCCAGCGTCAAGCCTTTCTGCAGGTCCTGAGGGCTTGCTCAGAACTCCGAGAAAAAACACGGCACCGGCAGATTTTCCGCAATGATTGGGCTTGCCATTTCCTGGTTTCTTTCTACGGGAGCCCTGGACCCCGTCCTCAAGCTTGTCGCTTAGCTCGGACTGCACCCAGGTGAGATTCGTGGAGGCCTCTGAGTGGCTTGACAGCCGCGTCCAGCTCTCCATCAGCGATTCCTGGGATCGCCTGGTTGCCTGCAGCTTTACGGTTTGGGGTTTTGGGCTGCAGCTTGGGGAATCGCTGTAGTGTCGCAAGCTGCGCCATGTCGTGTAAGGGCTTAAACTATGGCGCTGTTCTTTTGAAGACTCATGGACTTCTTGATGGTAAAGGAGAAACCCCCCCAAACCCTAAACCCTAAACCCTAAACCCTAAACCCTAAGGAGGGCCTCCAGAGAGCGGAGGGATTCCTGAAGGGCCACGTGCACGTCGTCGTCGGAGCCCATGAGGCCGCTGATGTTCAGCTGGCCCTGCTGCATATCCTGAGTCTAAGAGGGTTTAGGGTTTAGGGTTTAGGGTTTAGGGTTTAGGGTTTAGGGTTTGGGGTTTTAAAAACCCTCTGCTGCATATCCTGAGTCTAGCTTTCATCTGATGCAATGCTCATCTGGGGGTTTCCAACATTAGGGGTACCTTATTGGGGTCCTTATTATCGGGGAATCTTATACTATTTGGGGGTCGATATTAGGGGTCCCTATGTTCCGAAACCCCCATCTGGGGGAGGGTTCAAGAAACAGAGCCGGAGCAAAGCTGCAGGCCAGGGGCCATGACGAGGCTCAGGACCTGGCGCAGATATCACAGCACAGCGAGCTGTCGCTTGTCTCTGAGCACTCGGTCCCCAGACATGGGCACCTTAGCCTTAGGCCCTCCTAATTTACAAGACGCCCACAGGGGCAAACGGCAGCACCGTGCAAACCAGCACGCCCGGACGCACCCAGCACCGCGATACTATTGCAAAGTCACTTTTTACGCTTTGTATGGGATTGAACGGGAACGGCACCTCAGTGCGCTGGCGTGTAAGCTCCGACCGGAAGATCTTCGTCAGCTTCTCCCGGGACCTGGGAAGTTCGCACCAGGTCGTCTGCATGGCTGTGAAAGAAGGGACATGGAAAAGCCCTAAGCCGTCTGAACCCAAAATCCCAAGCACTGAAGAAGTTCTCATTGCGTGCTCACCGACGCTAAACGCTCCCACATGAACCAAGGCCTTGACTCTCTGGGCAGCACCTGCAGAATATATTGAATTGCATGCAAAGCGGCATCTCGCTGGCATCCTCAGGCGGCTTTCATGCAAGAGAGGCGGGAGCTTCTGACTTTCACCATGCTCGCTGAAACCCCTCAAGGCTAGGGGTGTTAGCATGGCTTGGGATGTCAGCCCTCTATCGCCGGCAAGATGAGATGGTGGCTGCGTAAGTATGAAGGATACTCTTGGCCTCTTAGAGGGGAATTGGGTTAAGGAAAAGGGCTACTGTATGATACGGGGATATATGTGCGGTGCCCAGTTCTCCACTTACACTTTATCCCTAAATCCTATCAGCATTGATGTTGCCATTGCGAACACGCCTCAACAGGATCGGACATGATTTAGCCCTACCATGTGCTAGTGCCCAGCCCAGCTGGGATGAACGTTTAGGACTTGGGGGTGAGGACCTCAACCGGGAACCTTATGCTCGGGGTCGAGTTCTGACGTCTCATGTCCCAAACACAAGACCTCAATCACACTGCAGAGTAACTCCGTTGTATTTCAGACTTTGCGGTTGGGATGTTCCCCCTTTTCTCTTCACAGCCCTTCATAGGGAGTCTCGCACCCCCCCTAGTACGATCCCTACTAAGGACTTTTAACGCAAAAAAGGTGGAACATCCCAACATTCAACCTTTGCCGAGTAGCCAGCTCGCGCTGCTGCATGATATCCGAGGCCAGCTGCAGCAAAGACAGCGGAGTCGCGAGCGAGCGCTTTCCTGCGGCCGGTGAGGAGCCATGGCGCATGCAGGAAGCTCCAGAAAGTTGGGGAGCAGGGTTTGAGGATGACTTGAGCTGAGATTCCCTTTAGTATACCTTTTTTGGGGGTATGGGGATAAGGACGTTCCAACTTTTTGGGGTTTACTGCAGTTTCCCAAGCACACCGCGCCCCCAAGTCCACAAAAACTTTGTGAATTGAGTCGTTCTTCCCCCCAAATTTGGGAGTTCGTGTTAGGGGCTCTAAGGGTGCCTTAACTATATGGGGTAACCCAAAAAAAAAGGATCCCAATTCAGAGAACTAAACATATCCATCTTGGGGTTTGCCCCCCCCCTGAACTTCACTGCCCTGATCTGCGCCTCTGGGCAGGAGCCGCCGGGCACTCAAGGCAAAGCGCTGGCCTGCCCACGAAGGGACTCTTTCGAACTCTGGGTCCCTTGTTGAGACCCTGAATTTAAAAAATAAATAAACACAACAAAACTCAAAAATCAACATAAATATAATTATATATATATATATAGACACATAAACAAGACAATTAAAAGGCAAAAATGGCCCTAGACTTGGAAGTCGGCAGGCCCATGTGCCCTTGAAGGCGTCCGTCGCCTCGGGCCATGAAGAACCCCTGGGCCCCTTTGATCCCCAACAGCCAGACATGAACAACCTTCATGGGGATCATACTAGAAACCCTAAACCCTAAACCCTAAACCCTAAACCCAAAACCCCTGAACAATTGGGATGTGCCCTCATACGACCAGCCCTTCATGGGGATCATAATAGGGGGTACTGGAGTTTTTTGACTGTTAGTATAAGGGGGAACATCCCAACCCTAAACCCTAAACCTGCAGGATATTGTAACCGCAAAAAATCATAAGCCGAGGGAGCACCGGCGCCTCGATCCAGTAGCCACTGCCTCTGAATCTGCAGCTGCTTTGCCAACAGAGGGATCAGTCCTCATTCGCGTTTTGAGTTGGGCGTTTGGGATTTGGGGTTGCTTTGCTTTGGGGTCCAACCCTAACCCTAAACCCTAAACCCTAAACCCTAAACCCTAAACCCTAAACCCTAAACCCTAAACCCTAAACCCTAAACCCTAAACGGGGGGAAGTTGCAGGGAAAGGCTATGGGCTTCCATTACGAATACAAAGTGCTCTATGGCCAGCAGAGGTATCAGGCCCTCAACCGCGCAGAGTTGTGGAACTTTGGGATTTAGGGTTGCAGTTTAGGTCGTTTAGGGGTTGGGGCTTTCGGGTTCCTTTACAGGGGGATCCTGTTTATGTATGCTTCCATTGTGCAAGGTACCACGACAGAAATCCAAACTTGAAAATCCCAAATTCAAAAGTGGACTTCATGACCACCATGGGGGTTTGCGAGAATAAGGGAACCCCTAAACAGACCCCCAAAATAGCAGGATCCCCTTATAATAAGGACCCGACAAGGCAACCCTAATACCCTAAACCCTAAACCCTAAACCCTAAACCCTAAACCCGAAACCCTAAACCCCCCATCGCTCCGAGCCTGTCTCTGGCGCATGGGACACGTCGCCCGTCTCCCAGAGCTTGCGCAGCGCTTCCCTGACTGCCTCAGCGCCCACTTGGGTTTAGGGTTCAGGGTTCAGGGTTCAGGGTTTAGGGTTTAGGGTTTAGGGTTTAGGGTTTAGGGTTTGACCATCGCAGCTGAACCTAAATAAATCCTAAGGGTACCCTTTTTGGGGGCCCCTTTAAGGGGATTCTATTCTACTTGGGTATCAAAGGCGTGCCCCTACTTTGGGAAATACTCACCTGAGAAATTCAACAAGTAGACTGGGATCCGGGCCGGCCCACCCGTTTCCGACACTTCCTCGGATTCTGCAGCGTCAGGCAAGCTCAGAAAAAGAGAGGCGCGAAAACAGCAGCACAACCTGTCTGACAGTTCTGAGAATCGACGCAGCTTAACAGCGCCATGGCACCATTGAAATTGATGTTATATGTTCTGTCATACATGCTTGTTATGTTATCTGCAAAATATTGTAATAACGTAAACCATGAAAAAATATGTACTATGATGCAGAAAGAGATAGATGCTACTTAAAAACATTAATGAGAGTTAATAAGGTTAATACTGATGGCAATGTTGTCATACCTTCGACCCCCCCCCCCCCCCCCCCCCCCCCCGCAATCCTCCCTTAAGGCTTCCAAAAAGTCTGTGTGTACTAGCTATGTCTTAGACAGCTAGTAGCAACTAGCAAATAGCCGTACGACCTTCGGCTTTCGAAAGTGTCTGCAACAACTGCTGAACGCTACTAGCTAGCAATTGGCGAACCAAGTTGCGGTTACACGACCCCCCCCCCGAAGCCAACAAGCCACTACGAGCTGATCGCTGACGATTTGCTGGCGAATAGTGTGCTATTCGCAATTGTAACCAGGGCCCGGTCAGCGATGTTTGCTGTAAGTCTTGTGCTATTTTCAGAAGGCCTTTCGTGTGCTGTTTCCTTGGAGGCCCGGGGGGGGGCTGCTGGGGAGGGAGGGATGTTCTACGAGAACGTTCATGAAAACTCTATTGCTAATGATAGAAATAGTCATAATCATAATAATATTAGTAATACTAGTAATCATAACAACAATAATCATAGCCCAAGGTGCCCCCGCCCGCGCGCGGAGCTCGAAGAGGAGCAGCCTGGCTTCGTAGACTTCCTGGCAAGGAGATGTAGCTAGGGTTTAGGGTTTAGGGTTTAGGGTTTAGGGTTTAGGGTTTAGGGTTTAGGGTTTAGGGTTTAGGGTTTAGGGTTTAGGGTTCAGGGTTTAGGGTTCAGGGTTCAGGGTTCAGGGTTCAGGGCTTAGGGTTTAGGGCCATGGTCTCCCCCAATGAGGGGGAGGGGGGGGGAAGGGGATCCTGTTGTATGAGGGATTCCATCCTCGGGATTCCATCTTCCGATCTCCCCCAAGACAAAGGGGGGGATCCTGTTTCAGAAGGGATTCCATCTTTATAAATAAGTAAATATATATATATATATATTTTTATTTATTTATGTATATATTTATATATATTTTTATGTTTTTGTATGTTTATTTAATATAAAAAGATATAAATATATATAAAAATATAATATATATATATATATATATATATAAACATATAAATATATATATAATTGTATATATAAAAATAAATATAAATATATATATATATATATATAAAGATATAAATAAATATATAAATATGTATATATATATATATATGTATATGAAAATGATTTAATTATTTATGATCTACATTTTATATTTTTATGATTTTTATTTATTGTGTAACATATTTTTCAATCGATACATTAAAACAAGTGTGATATTATGCTATTGTAGTAGTAATGATGAAGATTCAAGATCAGATACACCACATGATAGAGAAAGTGATAATGATGACAGAAAAGGTAATGAAAATTATGCAGAAAGACCTGTAGATAAAAAATATGGACATCATGGTATACATATAAAACGATATGAAAATTTTAAATAATAATAATAATAATAGTAATAATAAATCAATGCTTATTGAAAATTCGAAGACCGGCCTTCGGGTGAATTACATAGGCGAAATTTTTTCAATTAAAAGCACATCATACTCATATCACACAGAGCATGTCTGTATAAAAAATTTTTCAATTAGATTTTTAATTGAATATAGGGGCCCCTCTACTATGGAGGAGCAGCCCCATATTCTATGGAGTTGGGGATTGCCAAAGCCACAGGGGGGTGGTGCTAAGCTCAGGCCCCCGTTTGAGTCTAACAGTCGGCTGGGTGCTTGTTGGTGTCCCTGTTCGAAGGAGTCTCTTAGATTTAGGGCACCCAAAGGGAACCTCACTTATCCAACAACCCTCATCCCGAAAGAACCCTCCGAGCAATCGACACGCCACCCGTAGCCCAAACGTGGCAAATTCTCCAAATTTGGATCCCTGTGTCTATGCCCACCGACGAACCAAAAAAAAAGGTAAGATCCAAGCTTCCTATGTATTTGGGCTTTGCATAAACACTTGATATAGAGGTTTGCGAAAATCAGTGGCCCCCAATATAGACCCCCAAAGAGTAGGATCCCCTTATAATAAGGACCCCCATGAAGTACCCCTAATTTCGGAAACCCCCATGTAAACAATCTTAGGATCCCAATCTGCGTGCCCCGGGGATCCCGGTTGAAGAGGAGCTTCCACTAGCAGCAGGAATGCGGCCCCGAATCCCTGCTTAAAGCCCTCATTCAGGTGAACGTGTCCTTGCACGGCTTGCCCTCAAACCCACCCCCGAAACGCCCCAGACCAAAACAGGTTGGGGTAATAAACCCTAAACCCTAAACCCGAAACCCTAAGCATCAATGACACCCGCTTCCCAAGCCCCAACCCCAAACCCAAAACGCGGGGCCTGCCGCAGCCCAGTCATCTCGTGCTTCGCCTTCGCGTCCTCCCCGCACTTTGGCGCGCCGGCTTAGGGTCTGGGGTCCTACATTAGGGGTTGAGGGTTTTGGGGTTAAGGGGTTAGGGTTTTGGGTTTACCCGAACTTCGGGGCTTCAGGGCGTCGAGGCGCTCCTGGAGGTACTTCTTCCTGGCATGCAGGCGGCTCCGTAGATCCTGGATCTCTTTCTCCAGCGAGGCCTGCCTCATTGCACATGGGCTGGGATGCTCCCCCCTGTACTAGCAGTTGTGAGTACCCTGCAAGGGATCCTCTTTGGCGTCCGACTTACAAACCCTGCTGAATACTACTTAGGAAGTGTCCCCCGATCCTCCGAGTAAAATGCCCTGGAATCTGAATCCGTGTTAAAAGTGCCTGGCCCTTAGCTAGGTAAACTCACGGCTGATATTCGCCTTGGGGGCCTGGCATGCTGCTAGCACACCCTAAACCCTAAACCATAAACCCCAAACCCTAAACCCTAAACCCCAAAGCCTAACCCATGATCCATGGTTCTGTCGACGGCCGGCCTCATGATGCCTTGGCGCTCGTGCACCTCACGCTGCCTTCGCATGCGCAGGGCGTGCGCTTGGCCCATGACCTCAGAAGAAGGCTTCCCAGACAGAAGATACTAATAATAACAATAGTAGTAATAATAGTAATACTACTCATCATAACCATATTTGTAATAGTAGTAATAATTATCATCATCATAAGAATACTCCCCAAGAAACCCTATAAAGGAAAAACAACCAAAAAAAAACTGCACCCAGATCACACGGCGTCAGGGATATGTGGGAGGTGTTCTACGTTAGGGTCCCACTTGGGCCCTGCTTATGAGGGACCCTTAGCTGCGAACATCCTATATAAAGTTGCAAGGGGCCACCAGTTCAAGGGGCCTCATGCCTTCTCCACTGCAGCGTCACGGTTTGGGGCAACCCTAAACCCTAAGGGTCTAGTGCCAAGGAGGGACAGTCATCCTCTGCGATATGTTTGACTGCAGCAGATCCTGCAGCGTCGTCCACAGCTGGATGTTTCGGTCGTTGTCCTTGACCTGCACATGGTTGTTGACCATTCTGGGCCCTTACTGGGTGTCTCGACGAGAATCCTCTTTTGTAAGGTGTTCAAAAGGGCCGCGATTTAGATCAAGCGGAGCGCGAGCACTCGCAACATAGCAACTGGAATGCCGCATCAGTGGAAGGTGGGCCCTGCGACGCAAATCCTAGGACGGCTTGCACCTTGAACACTAAACAGCAACCTGCACCCCAACTCATAAATTGCAACACCGCGTTCGAATCATTTCTGGGCCCATCAGACCACGCGCGGGGGCTGCTCGGGCCTTTGGCATTTGGGGTCCCTCGTGATCCGCTGGAGACCCCTTATGGACCCCGAAACCTTGAAGAGGTAACAGACCCCGGCCCTTCTCGGGCCCTTTAGTTGAGTCAAAGCCCCTCAATGCTGAGAGCTCCCCCCCAGAAACTTGTTGGCAGCGGAGCCAACGATTTTTAGCAGGGCTTCTTTCTGCAATCCGAACCCTAAACCCTAAACCCAGAAGCCCGAAACGACGAGCTCCGCCCCTCAGGGCCCCGGCCAGAGCCGACCGCGCCGTGTCCACAGCCCTCTTCAGCTTCCCATACCTGTTTAGGGTTTAGGGTTTAGGGTTTGGGGTTTGGGGTTTGGGGTTTAGGGTTTGGGGTTTGGGGTTTGGGGTTTAGGGTTTGGGGTTTAGGGTTTAGGGTTTCTCCAACTGCTCTTCGAGTCCAGTTTCCAACGAACTGACATTGGAATGTTACTGGCTTGTGGTCAAAAACCAGGCAATTCATTTGAACCAAAAAAAGCGTTTATAGATATAGCCCAGACACTCCGTCTTGAGACTCTCAAGCTCCCGCGCGTACCTTTCCTTGCACGTCTCACGACACTGCTACACCTTCTCTATACAGGTCGCACCCGACGTCAATCTAACCACGTCAAGGCTCGGTGGCTTCTCGCTTGCGCTCCTCGAACTCGGCAATAGAGGTGAGCCTCGAGACTGGCACAGGACGGGAGAAGGGTTGGGACCAGGCTCGGATAGGCAGGGTCTGGCAAATCCATGCGCAGACCTGGCAGCCTATATAGTCTCCAGCAAAGGGAGGAGCACCCTAAACCCTAAACCCTAAAGCTGCGCTTTCGGGCTTTCTTCGAACTGCTGCAATTTGCTTTCGCCGAGCGGCATGAGCTTTTGCTTGCGGGCCAGCTCAAAGAGCTCGGCCTCCGTGGCCTCGTGCTCTTTCACCAAGTTGTTGTGCCGGTGCATGCCTGCACTAGGCACAGGGCACATGGGCACCACCCGTGGTGCGGCCGCAACATTGAGAATCATTGTAAGAAATGGCGTGTCGAACCCACTCCTTCGGCGATCTCCTGGACGAGCGAGGTCAGGACCTCAGCAGATGATCTCAAACCCCCCACCCACCCATGTCGGCTCCCACCCCCCACCTTCTTGACCTTTTCGACCGAGTCGGCCATGCTCGCAGTAGATCGCGTCACCAGCCGCAAGTGCACCTCCATGAGGTCATCGGTCTTCTTCCGCTGCGCGTCCAGCCACTGGTTCTCCTCAGTGCGCTTCAGCATGCCCTGTGCAGGCTCCGCGTGAGCCGCTCGGGTTGGGTAGCTACTTCTAAGCGGCACCTACAGGTCTACTTGTCATGTATCATGAACCGCTTCGCGTGCGCGCCCCCCCCCCCCCCCGAACCACCGAGCCGCCTGCACTGCAACACACGGCAACCGTCACCGACATTCACTCTTCACTGAGGTCCCCACATGTTCGTTCATGCGCATCATGCGCTCAAACTCGTTCATGTCGTATTTTCGCGAAGGCTCGCTTAGCACGACCTGACAGCACGGGCGGCCAGGTGGCCACACAAGCACCACAAAGATCCCGCAACGGAGTCACACAAACCACGCAGTCTAAAACCTCTACATATATATATATGGGTCACCGCCTATAGCGGTTCCCCTGTGTTTTTTGCACAATCCCTTAAACCATTCAACCAAGAATCCCTCAAACCATTAAACCATTAAACCATTAAACCATTAAACCATTAAACCATTAAACCATTAAACCATTAAACCAATGGTTTCCCCCATATGAGAATCCACTAAACCATTAATCCATTTTCATGGGGGGAAACCATTGGTTTAATGGTTTAATGCTTTAATGGTTTGAGGGATTCTTGGTTGAATGGTTTAATGGTTTAACGGTTTCATGGTTTAATGGTGTAATGGTTTTTTAAGGAATTCTCATATGGGGAAACCATTAAACCATTAAACCAGTAAACCAATGGTTTTCCCCATAGAGAATCCCCTAAACCATTAATCCTTTTTTATGGGGGGAAGCCATTGGTTTAATGATTTAATGGTTTAATGGTTTGAGGGATTCTTGGTTGAATGGTTTAATGGTTTAATGGTCTAATGGTTTAACGGTTGCATGGTTTAATGGTTTAATGGTTTAGGGGATTCACATAAGGGGCAAACCATTGGTTTAATGGTTTAATGGTTTAATGGTTTAATGGTTTAATGGTTTAATGGTTTAATGGTTTAATGGTTTAATGGTTTAATGGTTTAATGGTTTAATGGTTTAATGGTTTAATGGTTTAATGGTTTAATGGTTTAATGGTTCAATGGTTTATTGGTTTCATGGTGCTCCTGCCGAGGTACCCGTGGCATCACTATACATATTATCCTACATATTATAGGTTTCTATATTGCATACTCCTAAAATTCTGAATCGCAAGCAGTGTCCCCCCGTATCTTGTCTACTCCTAAACACCTGAATCGCAAGCAGTGTCCCCCGTATCTTTTCTGCTCCTAAAAGTCTGAATCGCAAGCGGTGTACCCCGTATCTTTTCTGCTCCTAAAATTCTGAATCGCAAGCAGTGTCCCCCCGCATCTTTTCTGCTCATAAGTATACGTATACTACATGGGTTTGCGCCTTAAAACCCGAACTCCTTAAACCCTAACTCTATAGGGTTTAAAGGTTAGGGTTTGGGTGTAATTGCCGGCTTAGGTTTAAACGCCTCAATCTTAAACCCTAAACCTGTCAACCTTAACCCTATATAAGGTTGGGGTGCCTACATGATCATCGGATTTGACGAGCTCTGCGGATATATGTATATAGCAAGGTTATAACTTTTTGCTGTGGCTATAACTATGGGTTAGGGTTTGATTTGTATACACTTATGTAAACCCATAAGAATAAGGGGAACCGCATCACAACCTATGAGAATCCCCTAAACCATTAATCCATTTTCATGGGGGGAAACCATTGGTTTAATGGTTTAATGCTTTAATGGTTTGAGGGATTCTTGGTTGAATGGTTTAATGGTTTAACGGTTTCATGGTTTAATGGTGTAATGGTTTTTTAAGGAATTCTCATATGGGGAAACCATTAAACCATTAAACCAGTAAACCAATGGTTTTCCCCATAGAGAATCCCCTAAACCATTAATCCTTTTTTATGGGGGGAAGCCATTGGTTTAATGATTTAATGGTTTAATGGTTTGAGGGATTCTTGGTTGAATGGTTTAATGGTTTAATGGTCTAATGGTTTAACGGTTGCATGGTTTCATGGTTTAATGGTTTAGGGGATTCACATAAGGGGCAAACCATTGGTTTAATGGTTTAATGGTTTAATGGTTTAATGGTTCAATGGTTTATTGGTTTCATGGTGCTCCTGCCGAGGTACCCGTGGCATCACTATACATATTATCCTACATATTATAGGTTTCTATATTGCGTACTCCTAAAATTCTGAATCGCAAGCAGTGTCCCCCCGTATCTTGTCTACTCCTAAAAACCTGAATCGCAAGCAGTGTCCCCCGTATCTTTTCTGCTCCTAAAAGTCGAATCGCAAGCGGTGTACCCCGTATCTTTTCTGCTCCTAAAATTCTGAATCGCAAGCAGTGTCCCCCCGCATCTTTTCTGCTCATAAGTATACGTATACTACATGGGTTTGCGCCTTAAAACCCGAACTCCTTAAACCCTAACTCTATAGGGTTTAAAGGTTAGGGTTTGGGTGTAATTGCCGGCTTAGGTTTAAACGCCTCAATCTTAAACCCTAAACCTGTCAACCTTAACCCTATAAGGTTGGGGTGCCTACATGATCATCGGATTTGACGAGCTCTGCGGATATATGTATATAGCAAGGTTATAACTTTTTGCCGTGGCTATAACTATGGGTTAGGGTTTGATTTGTATACACTTATGTAAACCCATAAGAATAAGGGGAACCGCATCACGTCCCAATAAGCAAAACAAAACATCTATCCTCAAGACTTTACCTTAGCTAAGGTATGTCAAGCAACCATCCCCCGATAAGCAAAACTTGAATTCCATCATTTAACGATCTATTTTGTTAATATTTTGAATCCCTGGAAGTAGTGAAAGTGACGAGCTCTGCGGATATATGTATATGACAAAGTTATAACTTTTTTGCCGCGGTTATAACTATGGTTCAGGGTTTGATTTATATACATGTAACAAACCTATAACAAAATGAGGGTAACCCTATCACGCCCCAATAAACAAAACAAAACATCCATCCAAAAACTTTACCTTAGCTAAGATATCTCACGCAACCATCCCCCGATAAGCATAACCTGATTTCCATCATATAACGATATGGTTTGTTTATATCCTGACTCCCAGGAAGCAGTGAAAGGACATTTGCTCACAGTATTGGGACGAAAGCCCTACAAACACAGGCATAACCCTATGGGATTTAAGGCGTAACTGTATGGCATTCAAGGTTTAGGGATTTGAGCCCCAAACCCTATAGGGTTTTAAGGTTCTATTGTATAGGTAATGCCCAAGCCTTAAACCCGAAACCTTTAAACCCTATAGGGATCAATGGTTCAAGAAAACCTAAGGTCTGGCTTCAGCACCCTTTAGGGTTAAAACCTTTGAACCTTGTAGAGCCCTATCGGGTTTTAGGGTTCTGACCCTAAATGGTTCAGGGTTAACGTTTAACTGCCCGAACCTTCAACCCTTAAGGTTAAAACTCTATGGGTCTAGGTTTAAAGTTTAAAATGCCTAAATCAAAAACCCTAACCCTTAACCTTAACTCTATCGGGTTGAACGGTTCGGGTTTAGGTTTCAGTACGGGCTTACGTTTAAATGCCTCAACCTTAAACCCTAAGCCTGTCAACCTTAACCCTATAGGGTTGGGGTGCCTACATCATCATCGACTTATTGCTGTGGTTATAACGGTGGTTTAGGGTTTGAAATATAAATATATGTATATACATTTATGTAAACCTATAAAAAATAAGGGGAACCGCAATAGGCGGACGCCCATATATATATATATACATGTATACATATACATCTATTTTTTCATCCGGCGCTCTATGATAATACTTTAAAGGATGTAAACATGTGAACCATCTAGTTGGCCCTGAAACAACTTTGTGTAATTTTATTCCCTTGCCCCATTTAATCATGTTCAATGGCTTGAACGATTTCAGTAAGAATGCTCTGAATAATCAGTGAACCAAGTTAGTTAGCTTAAACAAGCTTGATGGGCTCTAAATTATTTAACGTATTTCATCCTATTTGATTGACGTAGAAATCTTAGTAGCTGAAATATTTGAACAAATTGAATAACTAATTTGGCCCTATCACAATCTCGTGCCGTTTTCAAGTAACCTGAAGACATTCAAGCAGTAGCAACGTCTTAACAAGTTGAACCGGTCCAGAAAAAACTTTTCTGATTTTTCAAAACCCTAAACCCTAAACCCAAAACCCTAAACTCTAAACCCTAAACCCTAAACCCTAAACCCTAAACCCTAGGTACTTGAAGCAACCTTAAAGCTTGTAGTGGCTTCATTGACGTGTTGAAATTCTTTACGCTGCCGAACAGTACATATTTTGAAGCTGCAGGAAACCTTTGAAGCCCCGAAAGTTTAGGGTTTAGAGTTTAGGGTTTAGGGTTCAGGGTTTCGGGTTTTGGGGTCAGTATGGTATTAGTATTTTTTCTGATGCTTCTAGTACCATTTTGCAAACAGACTTGGATTGTCCAAGTCGCAACATACAACACTACTCTGGTATGGGGGCTTACGAAAATAGGGGACCCCAATATAGATCCCCACAGGGTGGGACTGCGTAAAATAAGGGCCGCAATAAGGTACCCTAATGGTTGAGATGCCCGCAGCAATTTTCGAGCAGAGAAGAGAAGCGGACCACGATGGGTCAAATACATCTGAGCTGCAAAACCGTATTCGCAATTGATATTCCTCACAAGTGCAATGCGCAGAAAGCTGAGCATGTATCTGCTACGCATTTAAACCTAGCTATATATGAAATGTGTTTCATGCGACTCACAACAGGAATCCGGTTAAGAACTCAGGCAAAGGAGATGTAACCAGTAGATCCTCTTAAGGTTTGGAATGCTTATGAAAATAGCGAAAACCTCCGCAAATACCGATGGCTTCAACTATTGTATGAACGAAATACCAACACAAAGTACAAGCATGAACGACAACCATATGTGAGGTGTGGGTTTGGAGGCGGTGACCATATATGCTGTACATATTCATGTACACAAGTGCATAAGTGGAGATGCATGATCCTCAGTGCTAGGTCCCAGGGGCGGGCTCCAGGGCACTCTGCATGTCCTCGAAGTTCTTAGACACCCAGCTCTCAGCTTCATCCAACAAGCCCTCCGTAAACCTTGGCCATGCAAATGCAGCGCAGAAACACGTCACAGGATCGAAAACCCTAAACCCTGAACCCTAAACCCTAAATACCCTGCTCTTCCAACTCAAGGAATCTGTCTACCAGAGAGCTTTTCGTAGGTGATCTCCTCCCTCTCTGTGAAGTTGGACCTGTCATAGCCGTCCAGGGTTCGCATCAACTTGGCGCATGAGCCTCAGCATCTTCACAAGACCACCCTAAACCCTAAACCCTAAACCCTAAACCCTAAACCCTAAATCCTAAACCCTAAACCCTAAACCAGCACGATGGGAATGTTGTGACTCAGCTTGTGGCTTCGACTGTTGGTGTACATCAGGTACTCCTCTCTTCGTGCCGAAGGCAAGCCATGACACCAGGAGGCTTGTCAAAACAGGGTTTAGGGTTTAGGGTTTAGGGTTCAGGGTTCAGGGTTCAGGGTTCAGGGTTCAGGGTTCAGGGTTTAGGGTTTAGGGTTTAGGGTTTAGGGTTTAGGGTTTAGGGTTTAGGGTTTTGGCTTTAGGGTTTTGGCTTTTTGGCTTTTTGGCTTTTGGCTTTAGGGCTTAGGGTTTAAGGTTTCGGGATCAAGCCAGGAGGGCCGTCCTTGACCTTGTTCGTGAGGGCGATGCGGTGCTGGTTCCGACGCGCGACACCGGTCTTCTCTCTGACCTTGGCGAAGGCCACCTGGGCATCACAAACAGCCGCGACCCGAGCCGGCTAATGAGTGGACTGATGAGTTTAGGGTTTAGGGTTTAGGGTTTAGGGTTTAGGGTTTAGGGTTTAGGGTTTAGGGTTTAGGGTTTAGGGTTTAGGGTATAGGGTTTAGGGTTGGGGTGTAGGGTGTAGGGTGTAGGGTGTGGGGTGTAGGGTGTAGGGTGTAGGGTGTAGGGTGTAGGGTGTAGGGTGTAGGGTGTAGGGTGTAGGGTGTAGGGTGTAGGGTGTAGGGTGTAGGGTGTAGGGTGTAGGGTTCGGACCCGGCCTGCCAGCGCATGCGAGCAGAGATCTCACGAGAGCTGGTCACGGTCATCTTGCCCTGAGGCCTGAGAAGTCCAGTGGGCATCGTGCAACCACCAACAACAAGCCCATACACCCTAAACCCTGCGCTCACACCCTAAACCCTAAACCCTAAACTCTAAACTCTACACTTACACCCCAAACCCTACATCCCACTCAGCCATCTCAGCTGAAGCACAAATCTTTTTCGGTGGGTTCGCGGCGCCAGTCCAACAGGCGCTCCATGTTGTCTTCCTCGTCAGACTCCTCCTCCCCATCCTCAAAAGCAGGCTCTACGCCCCCTGAGTAGACTACAGGTAAACTTAAACATTCTAAGGGTAGCTACATAGTCCCTTGGTATGGGCACTTAAAAGGGGGACCCCTTGTATACCCCTGATATACCCTATGCAAGTTCGGGGCCGTTAAATCAGAACCCTTTAAAGGAGGTTAAGTAGGGACCATATCAAAGGCCCATGAAACTACCCTAACCCTAAACCCCTAAACCCTAGACCCTAAATATCCCGAAACCTAAGGCCCTTAGATTTGACAACCCCCAGAAAAAAAAGAACTCTTCCACCCCTATGAAGTGCGCTCCTGCGCCGCCTGCAGTGCGAGAGGGGCGCTGCTGGTCGGGACGGCCTCTTCCTGCTATCGGGGGTTTAGGGTTTAGGCTTTAGGGTTAGGGTTTAGGGTTTAGGGTTTAGGGTTTAGGGTTTAGGGTGCAGGGTTTAGGGTTTAGGGTTTAGGGTTTAGGGTTTAGGGTTTAAAGCAGCAAGCCTTCGCTTCTACTTCACAGCACCGCCCACCTCCTGGGGTATTTCAGCCGGTCGCCACTGCGCGAAGACCTGGGTGCAGGCCATGCCGTCCCCAGAGTGTCTTAAGAGAGTACAGCGACTTGTTTAGGGTTTAGGGTTTAGGGTTTGGGGTTTAGGGTTTAGGGTTGGTTCATGGGATCGTAATGAGAGAGACTCATGATCATCACAAGGAAAATCTGAGGAAGCAGCCGCGCTCTTCTCTATCTCAGCGCGAGCTCGCTTGTTCCTAGTCCTCGGAGAACAATAGCATCGCTCTTCCACCCGGTGCTTTCTGTATATATCGCTCCCACAGATTCTCAGATCATCTGACATCTAACAGATCATAGTAGAATACGAGTACCGTGCAATCTAGCTTAACTTATAATACACATGACACACTATATACTACAACATAGTATATATATATATATAGAGGGAGAGAGAGAGAGAGAGCACAAGAAATGTATATATATATATATATATAGATATGTATATATCACGCGCTGTGCTGACTCCAGCCTTGGCTCGCATAGACGGCAAGCCGAGGGGCGCGAGGCTCGGAGACTTCTCGAGTCGTGCGTGTGGATGTCTTCCCACGCTGCGAGGGTGCAAAGACTTGTTGCAAGCACCGATGTGACACCCGGTGAGGGAGAACACACCTGGGCTTTCAACGTCTTGGGGGGGGGGGGGGGGGGGGGGGGGGAGGCATGTGCATCAGCTAGGACGGGATTATGGGAAGCAGAGGGGTGTAGCACTGGCATGAACCTTGGCCAGGGGCTCCCCGCAACCCCAAAACGCAATCCCCCAATCCTTGCAAGCAATGTCGAGACAGGCCGCCAGAGTCTCCCAGTTGCCACTTGGACATCTCTCCTGTTGCAAGGAGGTCATATGACAGCGGAGTCCGTACCAGCACCCCCCAACTATGATTCCCTAAAACCATGCTAACACCGAATACCTATGTCACAGCTGCAAGGGGACACTCCCTTTAATCAGGGTGCGGGGTTCAAAGCGGTGCTTTGGTACATGAGGGGGTCACATCTATACCACAATATACCACCAGCTTTGTATGTACTATCATCGACTAGAATATACTTCGTACACAATATACCTTTGTAGACTGCAACATACTACAGTATACTGCAATTAGTATCCCACGGGCTACCACCCAATACAATGTCGACAATATCTGCCATCATGTGAAACTACCCTAAACTCTAAACCCTACACCCTAAACCCTAAATCCTAAACCCTAAACCCTAGGCGCTAAGGAGGTTTAGGGTTTAGGGTTTAGGGTTTCGATCCTGTCGCAAAGCGAAGCAGCAGCCGTCGGATCCCCCGGCGCGGCGCATCGTCGAATCGCAACTTGGGGCTCTCAGACCACGAGCTCCGGAGGACTGCCTACATTTAGGGTTTAGGGTTTAGGGTTTAGGGTTTAGGGTTTAGGGTTTAGGGTTTAGGGTTTAGGGTTTAGGCTTTAGGGTTTAGGGTTTAGGGTTTAGAGATTAGGGTTTAGGGTTTAGGGTTTAGGGTTAGGGTCTTGGGGTGGGGGGAGGGGTTATTATAGTAGCGACCCCTATATTTCAAGCACAGTTGTGGAGTGGATGGTGGTGACTGTGGGTGGGGAGTGGCGTGCTGGTGCTCCAAATGCGAAGCTCAGATTGTCAAAACCGACCTTGCTGAACGGACCTCACTGTTCTTGAGCCCAAGGCGAAAGCACTTCTAGCAACACCCGGCATTGGTGGGGGTTCAGAATGGCACAGGAGGTAGATCCTGCCTACTCTAATCTACCCCTGCTTTGAGGCTGTGGTGCAGCGTCTCCGTGAGGAGAGCACTCATGAGCTTCTGTCAGTGACGGCTGCCCGTACGGTGCTTGCAACATCCACTTCTCAAACCCTAAAACCCTAAACCCTAAACCCTAAACCCAAGTGCAACTGCAGCGGCACCCTGGAAGCCCAGCTGTCAACCCGACAGCTTATTTCCCCTTCCTGCGTCGTCCCCCCTTCTTCGCGCATCTCCAAAAAAAAAAACGGCTTAATGTCCCCAAGGGGGAGGGGCTCATTGTTGTTCCCGTTTCTGCAGCCGTTCTAACCATGTTCTCACATGCGATTCCCATACGAATGCCCGAGTTGAGAAGCGGGAAGAGCTTGCGACTCACACATATAGCCAAGCCTGGCTCACCGTGTGCCTCATCTGCGTTTCACTTCTCTCCGCATTTTCTTGCTGCTTGAAGCACAGCTTCCGAAACCATATGGAGGTTTACGAAAATAGTGGGCCCCTATAATTGTCCCCCAAATAGTCGGATTCCCTTACAATAAGGACCACGGATACGGTACCCCTAATATCGTAAACCCCCATATCTCCATCACAGCCTCCGGCAGTGAATATGGCCGCATTAGCGCGCTGAGCCTGGGCGTTTGCTTTCCCGGCGGAAGGGCGCGGCTGACTTCGTCAGCACTGAGCGCGCCATTGTGTCTGACAGCCCTTTCTAAAGAGTCCGAAAAAACGCATTTGTGGGGGCTTCGTATCAAAGCCTGTGGGGGCAGGGATTTGGGGCTTAGGGCTAAGGGCTGCGACCTGGAGATTCAGGGCAGCTTACTTGAGTTCCGGCTTCTTTGACATGTTTTGGTCACCTGCACTCAGGGACTCAGGGGGCATCTAGGCAGAGACTGCGACTTAAGGCGGCATTCGGGCTTCGCCCTGGCCACAACATTGAAAATAAACGATCGCAGTCCAGCCTGCTGCAAACTATGTTACTTTTTGTTTCCCCTTGAACCCACTAAGAGCCACTAAGAGCCAGGACATTTCGGTCCTGCCTGTGCTGGATCTGGCGGAGATGCAGCCTTCTTCGGCTGCTGCACATACTGCTCGAACTTTGGCAGCATGACCCACACGAGGAGCAATGGCCCCTTCCCTCCACCTCTGACGCGAAGCGGTCACAGAACCGGTCGCGGCACCACGGGTTGCAGGGCGGTACGCCCAGTGTCGTCATAGTTGTCCAGGTCGATTTCTTCCAGAAATCCGGCACGTCCAGCAAAATCCGCTCAAACTGGAGCGCACAGGCGCCATCGGAATTTCTTAGAAATCCCAACTGGTCGCAGGAGCTTCCAAGCTATGAAAAAGGTTGAGAACACAATCTCTACCTGAGGTGCGCCGCGGCAAAAAGGCGCGCGGCAGAAGGCACACACTGCTTCCACGGCGTCCGGTTCAACAGCTGCAACGCGGAACAAAGCTGAGCGAAGAACTTTAAGCTTGGAGTCTAGGATTGGAATCGCGAACCGCGCGAAAGGAAGCAGCTTGGCGTACGTGCAGAAACCAGCCAACTTCGCGGCGGGCTCGTCACGCTGCAACGAAGTCGTGCCCACGAAGCTGCGTGCACGCCTCAAAGAGCCGGGTTGAAAGCGAGGAGTCTGATTCTCATGATCCTCGAACTAACGAAAGGCAATCGCTGAGTATGCGCTCCGGTCCGGGGCTGAGTCTCGGCATGTCCGGGAAGTACTCCAGGTACATCCAGGTGAAGGTGTCGAAGCTCTCATAGTCCACTCTTGGCCAATTCGAAAGGATCGCATGCCGATGGCCCAATAACACAAAGGTCAAGATCGTTGGGAGAAGTCGTAGTCGTCGGTCAGCCTTTGTGTTCAGCCCACGCTCCGTCTCCCAGATGGCAAGTTGATCTGTCGTCCGAGGTTGACAAGACCAATGCGGCCCTCCTGGAAGCTCAGGCACTCTTGCACTTGCGCGGCACGTCTAAGTGCACGAAATAAGGGTACAAATGGGTATATACGGTATTCCCAGTGAAAGCTGTTGCCACCTACTTATACCCCCAGTTCTAGCGATAGCTCCAAACGCCCGACATCCCTACACCTAACAGCCATGCCAGACTTTAGGGTTCAGGGTTTAGGGTTTGGGTTTAGAGTTTAGGGTTTAGGGTTTAGGGTTTAGGGTTTAGGGTTTAGGGTTTAGGGTTTAGGGTTTAGGGTTTGGGGTTAGGAGAACGGCATCGCCTTCAAGTGGAGCCAGCTGGCGGATCTGCAGCCTCCAGGCACGCCTGCGCCTCCTGGCACTTCATGGCGCTTCTGTGAGGTTTGCCCAAAACCCTAAACCCTAAATCAACCCTAAACCTCTAAAAACCAACCCTAAACCCTAAATCAACCCTAAACCTCCAAAAATCAACCCTAAACCTCTAAAAAACAACCCGAAACCTCCAAAACTCAACCCTAAACCCTAAGAAAACCCTCAACCCCCCAAACCCTACACACACAACCGGGGCTGAAATCGGTCCTCGAGGTCCTGCTGCCGTGCACGCAAGCGCCGTCGCAGGTGCTGGATGTCCTTCTCCAGCGTGGCGAGCCTTGCAGGGCTTCGGGATTTTTGGGGTTTGGGGTTTAGGGTGTACGGTTTAGGGTTTAGGGTTTAGGGTTTAGGGCTTAGGGCTTAGGGTTTAGGGTTTAGGGTTTAGGGCACAACACGATCAGATGCCAAGCGGGCCGCAAGGCCTAAAGAAGCAAAGAGGCAGCACCTCCTGAGCCACCACGCTGCCGCTTTGAAGCCCTAGTTGCTCATCATCAACTTACATTCTCTCCTGCGAAGGGGGTTCTGCCGTTCCCCCACAGCCGGCCTGGTGACCCCTTGGCGTCTGTGAACCTCACCCTGCCGTCGGAGGCGAACAGCGTGTGCTTCGCCCATGACCTTAAGTGTGTGGTCTGCCCAGTGAGTCAGAATGTGGTTTCCTACAGAACCCTAGCTAGGCCCTGAAAACCCCTAATCCCTGAACCCTATGGTTTACGACAATAGGGGACCCCTAAAATCCACCCCCCACATAGCAGGATTCCCTTACAATAAGGACCCCAATAAGCCCATTTTCGTAAACCTATAGCTGTTTAGCATCAGCTCGGGCCTGTGTTTTTGGATAGCCAAAGCAGTGCATTCAAGGGCCATTCAGCTGAACACACATGACCTACTCAAGCAGGTGTTGTACTTGTATATCATTGCCACCAGCACAACGCTCATGCACAACCCCCCCCCCCCCCCAATCGTTAAACCTCCTGCTTGGATGCACTGAGTTGTTTGCTTGGGGTTTGGGGTTGGGGTTTGGGGTTAGGGTTTAGGGTTTAGGGTTTTGTTTGCTTGGTTTCTTGTTTGACTGGTTGTTTGTTTGTGCGAGTGAAGCACCTTCAGCATTCGGGTCAAGTGAGCCAAGTTGATGTGCCAACAGCATAGAACATGAACTCAGCTGCCTGTGTCCATTATGTGTGGGCTTTCCTAAGCCCTTAACCCTAAAACCCTAAACCCTAAAGGTCAGTGTTGATTGCACTTGTTGCCGCAAAGGGGCCGACATCTGTTCCAACATCTGGGACTTCACCAAGGTTCGCAGCTTCTTCCAGACCTGAATGCACCTGTTTCTGTCCTGCACCTGAGCACGGAAAAAGTTGCTATTGAAAAACGTCGCTTCACAGGCCCGAATCCTGCGCCCAGACAATGGATAGAATCAAAATCGGGGCAGGCTGGGCAATCAAGACAACCTGATAGACACAAGAACCTGAATGCAGACACAGGATACAGGTGAGGACACTCTGCATGAGATTCGAAGGGATATGTACCATCCTACTTTGCTGCTGCTGCAGCTGCGCACCATCGCTCCGCGGCACACGCACGACGCGACTTGCACCCAAAGATGTAACCCCGAACTGTGGCTTCGCAGCTAGCCTACAAACCTGCCAGCTGAGAGGCAAGGCTTGTAAGCAGCCGGAACAAGAGTCGTTTTTGCCCTAGCTCACACTCGTGCTCCTGATGAACTTGAGTCTTCGCGTTGCCGAGACAGCACTGAGCAAGCACGACTCAACTGGGCACCCGGCAAAAGCAAGGTACGCAGACTCCACGCCCCTCTTCAGTATGACATACTCGGTCTTGAGGCCCTCAAGCTCCCTTGCGTATCTTTCCTTGTGCTGAAGATCAGGCCGTGCTAGGACTTTCGGCGTACCACAGCAAAAAAAAGATCTGCAATACTTCTCTCAGACTTGCTGCGAACAACACGAACCGCATCGAACTGCTGGAATGAATTCTGGAGCCCACTCCGCTCCTAAACGAGGGAAGGATCTGTGGCGTCTCGCCTGCGCTCCTCCAACAGCGTAACGGAGTGAAGCCTCATGAGAACCGACAAAACCCCAGCAAAGGCTGCAAAGACCAGGCGAGTTGAGGGCCTGCAGCCTTTACAGGTACTGTCGCGGGCCCCGAGCAGTCTGCCATCTTGCACCTAGTACTAGTCTCCTAAACCCTAAACCCTAAACCCTAAACGCTAAACCCTAAACCCTAAACCCTAAACCCTAAGCCCTAAACCCTAAACCCTAAACCCCAGTCATTTTTTGGTAAGCAGCATGAGCTTCTGCTTCCGGTCCAGCTCATAGAGCTCGGCTTCCGTAGCCTCATGCTCTTTCACCAGGTTGTTGTGCTGGCGCATGCCTGCGCGAGGGTTTAGGGTTTAGGGTTTAGGGTTTAGGGTTCAGGGTTCAGGGTTCAGGGTTTAGGGTTTAGGGTTTTTTAGGGTTTAGGGTTCAGGGTTCAGGGTTTAGGGTTCAGGGTTTTGGGTTTTGGGTTTAGGGCTACTCTAACCCACTCCTTCGGCGATCTCCTGCACGAGCGACATCAAGACCTCAGCAGATGAAGCCATCCAGACTGGCAGGCACTGCGTACTCGAGAATCCCCCCACCCATGTCGGCTCCCACCCCCACCTTCTTGACCTTGGCGACCGAGTCGGCCATGCTCGCAGTAGATCGCGTCACCAGCCGCACGCGAACCTCCACGAGATCATCGGCCTTCTTCCGCTGCGCGTCCAGCCACTCGTTCTCCTCAGTTCGCTGCACATGCCTGCTCGAGCTTAGCGGCCCCTTTTCCAGACATTTCACGGGACCATGAGCTTGCTACTCGGGGTGCCATGCTGATTGCCATTGAGGGGTCTAGATGCCGCACAGCCTTCCGGCTAACAAGCAAAGCTGATCCTCATTCAGAATCGACATCAGGCATTTCACATCAACAGAAAGCCGGAAGTGAGGGTATCACCGAGAATTGCACTTTCTTCTTAGAGCCGCACTCTCTGGGATGAGGGGAGGATTTAGGGCTCCGACGCAGCCCACGTGCAGCAGTGGACAAACTTGCTGAATGTTTCGTGAACCGTCCCAAATGCCTGCTGAACCGTTCCGCGTACGTCACCACCACACCGCGCTTACTGCAACATACTACAACATACCGCAACATCCCCCTAAACCCTGAACCCTAAATCCTGAACCCCCTTCAACATACTGCAACCTTCGGTGGGATGCACTCTGGCGGAGCTCCCCGCCTTCTCGTTCACGCGCATCATGCGCTCGCACTCGTTGATGTCGTACTTTCGCAAGGGTTCGCTTAGCACGACCTCTCGCTGGAAAGTCGGGCAAGCGCTACAAAGACTCCCACATGACTCACCTCAACCTGATGCATAGGGTTTAGGGTCTAGGGTTTGGGGTTTAGGGTTTAGGGTTCAGGGTTTAGGGTTTAGGGTCTAGGGTTTAGGGTTTAGGGTTTAGGGTTTAGGGTTTCGGGATGATCCCTGGTTGCTGTCAGCTATGAGATGGCCCCAGGGGCTGGCTCAAGAGCACTCTGCATGTCCTCGAAGCTCTGAAACTCCCAGTTCGCGGCTTCGTTCAGCAAACCCTTCGTAAACCTCGGAACATCGACTTTCAGGGGGAGTTGAGGGTTTTGGGCTTAGGTTTTGATAGGGCTTAATGGGGCGGTTTAGGGTTTAGGGGTTTAGGATTTAGGGTTTAGGGTTTAGGTTTAGGGTTTAGGGCTTAGGGTTTAGGGTTCCTCCTCCCCCCAAACAAATGTACACCACACTTCGCTTCACATTGCCCAACCTGAAGGCATACAAGACATGTCCCAAGCCCCTGCAAAACCCTAAACCCTAAACCCGAAACCCTAAACCCTAAACCCTTCAGGGTTTAGGGCTTACGGCTACACAATGCCTATGTCCGGGCCATACCTAAACTGTGGCAGTTGGAAGAAAGGTTGGAAGGTTCCCGCGGTGGTTCCTTAGGGCTTAGGGCTTAGGGCTTAGGGCTTAGGGCTTAGGGCTTAGGGCTTCGGGGTTAGGGCTTAGGGGTTAGGGTTTAGGGTTTAGGGTTTAGGGTTTAGGGTTTAGGGTTTAGGGTTTCGGGTTTGGGGTTTAGGGTTTAGGGTTTAGGGTTTAGGGTTTGGGGCCAAAGAAACGTTTTGTAGAGGATCTCCTCCTTCGCTGACAAGTCGGACCCCTCGTAGCTCTCCACGCATCGCATCATCTCGGAGCAGGCGCCTGAGCCAGGAGACTGCGGGGGCTGCGACATGCTGCGATCTGTGAGCTCAGGGCTTAGGGTTTAGGGTTTAGGGTTTGGGGTTTGGGGTTTGGGGTTTAGGGTTTAGGGTTCAGGGTTTAGGGTTTAGGGTTAGGGGAGAGGCCGTTCTTCATGGATCCCTTCACGTCAGAAATGCCTTTGAAATATGGGGCATCAGAAGGAGGTTGGTTCCCTCCATCCGCTCCGGCGCATCTACCTTGCGCCGTTCTTTCCTTCACCGCTTGGCACAGTGGCTTCCGTTATGTAGCATACTGCAAAATTTTCGGGGCGACATAGAACAGCTGTGACACAATGAGCTTCCCAACATGCCGACTGGATGCAGTTGCGACAAAGTACTGCTTAACGCCCATTCACCATGCTATTTACTCCAAACTAGATACGAAGTCATGGTGAGAGTTTTCAACCCTGGCGAAGTGGACGGGCGGACGACCGGAAGAGACTCCCAAAGATCTTCATTGCAACAAGCAGACCACGGGAATTCAGAATTCAACGCTGCCTGCTTGAAGGTCGAAACCAGCTCTGCGTCCTGTCGGGAAGCATCTGCGGCGCGATTTGCCACTCAGTTGGTCACATCGAGTGACTACCAGTCACTGCTCTACGCTACATCATGAAACAGAGCACAGGCGTGCGCAGGCCATGCAAATCAAGCGCCGTCTTGCCTGACTTCTTGTGAGTGAGAGAAGTGTTCTCTCCTGCAAAGCAGTGCCCTGGCCCAGCTTTGCCTCAGGGACGGTACGTGCACGAACGACGCTGAACTACTGTGCCGATGGGTTGAAATATTCCTGCGGATCAGGCTCCGGCCTTGGCCCTTGTACAAGAAATGCTCCTTTTGGCGGAACTGCGCTGTGAAGGAATCCCCAACATGCAGTTCTTGCGAATCTTAAGGCTGTCCTTGGCCGAATTCGCGTTCTCCGCTGGGGCGGTGAGGCGCTTGCTTTGCCAGGAGCTGAAGGCCTGCTCCCGCACGGAAGCACACACAATGGACCACTGCTCAAGAATCTTTTGGGGGCATTTTGGAAAGCTTCGGAATAGCGATGGCAAACATGATCTAAGGGGGCTCGCAGCTCGATGCACCGCCTGTGCCATTTTCCACTGCCCTGAACGGAAGAGTCTCCGCTGGGCCAAGTGCCGCTCGAAGCGCGCCCTGGCCGCTTAGCCGAGCCTGGGAATCCTTGGTCGGATGGAGGCGCGAGGGTCTCGGGGGGCCATCGGACTCGAGCTCGTCATGGGCACGGCAAGCCTGGGACATAGGTAGCATCAGCGAGGACTCCAGGGCTCCAAGTAGATGCGCCGAGGCGTTTCGCTACATTCTCGAGCTGAGGCCCGCTTCATCTTCACATTCCTCTGCAACATCAGATTGCCCTTTCCTCTTGCGGCCTTCGCAGAAGTGCGCGCATCTGAGGGCGGGCTCTTGAACAAGAGATCCACACTTCGTGTCTGGACGAATGGATGCCAGGCCAGGCGACCCCGGTTTAAGGGTTTAGGATGGTGGCGGTAAAGGGACCACCACTGTGGGGGTCGTGCCTTGCGACAAGCACTCCTCCAAGTCCCCGTAGCTCCCCATCCTTCTCCTTCGGCTGCTCCTTCTCAAGCCGGTCGGCTCAAGCCTAGCTGCCACAGCTTCCACAGCTCCTCTTCCGTTTCCTCTCAGGTTTCTGCGCCCGCTGTGCGTGCCCTGTGCGACTTGGGAAAACCCCGGCCTTGAGCCCTTAGCGCAGGCTCGTCTGCATCGCGCTTGCTTTCCAGAACACTCGACACCGCCAGCTGCTGCTGAGCGCTTTCACACACTCATCCGCCGTCACTCACGCCCAAGCCAGCCTCCATGTCATCCGGGATGGGTCTGTCCTGGCACAAGAGCTTTTGCTGCGAGTACCCATAATGACATAAGAACCATCATCATCATAATCATAGTAAGAACAGAATGACAATGTAATTCACAGTTATAATAACAAGAGTACCCAGAAGAAGATGTTAACATTAAAGTAACGCATTATCATAATAGCAACACCTCATAATAACATACTAATAATACTACGTAAAAAATAAATAGTACGCTAGAATAATGTAGAATAACAAACAGAGCATCCCAGGGCATCCTAGAGCATCGCGCACCTGCCAACTCCGGCCCGAGAGCTCGCAGCCGGTTGGGTTCGGCATCTTCCAATCCATCCTTGCGAAAAGTTTAGGGTTTAGGGTCTAGGGTTTAGGGTTTTGGGTTTCGGGTTGAAAACCAGGATTTTCGGATTTAGGGTTTAGGGTTTAAGGTTTAGGGTTTAGGGTTTAAGGTTTGGGGTTTAGGGTTCAGGGCTCGTTGACTTTGGTGCAAACCCAAAACATCCACTTAAGGGTTCCATGGTTGCACCCCCTAAGGCCGTACCCCTAGAACACTCCACCAACGTAACCCTCATAAGAACACCATGTGAATCCCAGAACCCAGGGGTAGAGCCTTAAGGGTACAGCCTTAGCCCTGAACCCTTGATCAAATCGAGCAAAGGATGGCTGCGGCCTAAGGACACTTCGGCTTGCTTCGGCTCCCGCTGCCAATCCAACGCGTGCTCCACGTCTTCGTCCTCTGCTTCCTCCCCCTCCTCGCATCCGGCCTGCACTGGCGCGCGAGAGTCATGCAGCCCGCAAACCCTAAACCCTAAACCCTAAACCCTAAACCCTAAACCCTAAACCCCAAACCCTAAACCCTAAACCCTAAACCCTAAACCCTTCTCCGTGAACCCGTCTCCGTGAACAAAAGGCCACCCCAGAATCACAGTACCGCCTTGGATGTCTCAGCCGGCTGCCACTGGGCAAAGACCTGCGCACAAAGGCCAAGCCTGGGACTCGCTCTAGGGCCCTCGCACTTCAGGGCACTGAGGGCCCAAAACTTCCCGGACAAGCTCATCAACCACACTGTAAAACTGTAGGGTGCAACATGGTGCAACAGTTGGGGCGTTTTGAGCCGTATGGGATGGGAGCTGCCACTCACAGAAGCCTTGGAAGCCGCGCTTCTCTCGATTTCAGCCCGTGCTCGCCTGTTCCTCAAGTCTGCTCGCACCCATGCAGCTTCAAAAAAATTGGTCCCCTAGCATGCATCCAAGATCATCCAACGGCATGGGGCAGAAGCTGTCATACTCTGGTATGGGCGACCACATTTGCGAAAAGAGGGAACCGCTGCAACAGCACGAAACACACCTCCCGTCTAGCCCTGGGCCCTACGCCCTAAGCCCTAAGCCCTAAACCCTGAACCCTGAACCCTGAACCCTGCACCCTAAACCCTAAACCCTAAACCTAAACCCTAAACCCTAAACCTTAAACCCTAAACCCTAAACCCTACACCCTAATCCCTAAACCCTAAGCCGAGTTGGGCCGAGCCACGCAAGACTCGCAGACTTCACGGGCCGCGGCCGAACTGCCCTTCCGGGCGTGTGAGGCGTAGCTGGGCGGCGGGCTTCGCTGGCACACCCAGTGACGAAGACGCCTTGCACCGAGCTCTCAAAATGGGTGGTTGTCAAAATTATGATCCCTTTTGGGGTACCCTAAATATTAGGTGCCGTGTTCTAATAGGAATCCAAAAAGGGACCATAATTTTGACAACCACCCAAATGGTAGAATGATAGCACATGATAGAACAGCAAGATCTTGTAAAAGGGGGAGGGTATCGTACTATGGTTACTATACCAATTATGCAGCAATGTACAAGTATAAGAAGGGAGTCTAGAAACTCTCAGGTATGCGGAGCGAAATCCAGTGAAACCCATCCTCTTTCTTTTGGGAGTCGACTCATGCATCGGCGAAGCGCGCGGAACTGCTCAGATAATGTCGGAGAAGCAACTTATCATGTCCCGTGGGATTTACGTCTTGTTGCACTGACTGATGTGTTTGAGGCGCAGTTTGGGTCAGCTCTCCAAATTATGGTCCCTGTTCGGGCAGCCTTTATCTAAGGCACGCGTAGGGGGGGGAGGCGGTTGCCTACCCTTGCCAAGTTGAGAACCCCACTGAAACCCCAACCCCAAACCCTAAACCCTGACACCCCACCCTCCAAACCATATGGGCATTTCCCAAAATAGAGGGTACCCCCTTTATAACCCAAATAGACTCGAAGCCCCTTAAAGGGACGCCCAAACAGGGCACGCCTATTTTTGGAACCCCCCATATGTAGTGCAGCCAAAGTGCCGCAGGCTCTGGGCCGCATCTTCGCCATTCCTGGTCACAGCTGACGCAGATCGAAATCACATTTGCGACCAGGAGAAACTACTCTGATCCTAACTTGGACCCTAAACCCTAAACCCTAAACCCTAAACCCGAAACCCGAAACCCTAAACCCTAAACCCATTCCAAGGTCAAAGTTTCGAGGCCCAGCTCGGAAATCAGACGTCGGCGCCGGGAGGCGCGGAAGGTGCCATGGCTTTCGAGGCGTGGGACTACTACTTGCGGGGTAAGGGGGGGGGGAAGGGCGGGGAATTGGGACCAGCTAGAGTTTAGAGTTTCAGGTCTAGTATTGTTTCGGAGACCTGAAGCCCCTGGCAGATGCGTCATGCTCCAGAAAAGAAGCTGATAAGGTCTGGGCTATGCTGACCACGTGAAGAGGGCTTTAGGGCTTGGTAGTCTTTACGGGGTTTGCGGTCTTGTAGGATTTAGGGCGTTTGTTTAGGGCTTTGGTTTTCATGGACGGCTGGATCAAGCACTAAGCCACTAAGCACGGGATGAAGCAGATTCATCCAGCAATGATGCCCAAATCATCACATGCTGTCAGGCCAGCAAGAGACAGCGGTTCTGCAGCAGACTTTATCCGCTGTTATGTGTGGGTGGCTGACGGCCAGCATCATGGCTCTCTTGTAGTGCGTTGCTCTGGGCTGACTACATCAGCTCCAGGGCGCATTGTTGTGTCTGACACCCCCTCAAGGAGCCCCAGCCAAACCGAAACAATAGCGGCGAGTGTCCTCGAAGGGTGAGCTTCGGGACCGTCCATCAATACAATACAGCTGCAGTACAGTACAGTGCAGTATCATATATTATGTCATGCAACAGTACAATGTTATACTACATCGCTTCGCACTAGACCGAAACTCAATGTTACATCTGCTCTTGTTTGGCAGGACCTTGAGAGAAGTGTTGTGCATGGAAAGCACGCCAACTGCTCTGACGTGCGGTCCTCTGGCCTTCCGGTGGGGCCTTTCGAGTCAGTGCAGTAAAAAACATCTGCAGGAAGTCAGGAAGCTGATAGAGCCAGGACGTTGAGGTTGAAAGTTTAGGGTTTAGGGATTATAGGGATTATAGGGATTATTATAGGGACTATAGGGACTATAGGGTGTATAGGGTTTAGGGCGTTGGTTCAGATTTCTTCGGAAGTGTGCAGGCTTCCATGGAGGGTCCTGGCACACGCTGCAGTGGACACTGATAGCAGTGAAACCCACGTGGCAGGCTTTGAGAGCATTCGGGCATATTCGGGCTTTGCCCTGGCCACAACATGCCGCAACTTTAAAAATAACCGATCGAAGTCCAGGGAATGCTTTCTTGACACACCTGTCCACCTGTGGCTTGCATTAGTAGTGCCTAGTGGCTTCGAGACAGAGTGAATCCACAAAGTCTTCCCTGGCCAAAAGTGCACGATAACAATCCTCGCAACCCATTCCAAACATACACGATGTTGCTGGTTTCGGTGCTTCAGTGCAGAACGACAGAATATGAGAGCCAGAAAACCTTAAACCTCAACTCCCGTAGCCGATAGGCTCGGCGGACAGTCAATTTGGAGAAGATGGGTTGCCAACGGATTTCTATGAAATCCTTGGGGTGGTCAGCGCTCTTGGGCAAACTCATGTGCATGCCAGGGGCAGCTAGATTGCCCTAACAACTGGCTAACAACACAAGGTCTGGGAGTTTTCAGCAGATGACGCACCATATCCTTGCACAGACTATGGCCCTTGGCTTAGGGGTGAGACTTCAAACGTCCGAGGCCGCTCGCCGGTGGAGTTCTTTGCACGTCTAGAGTCGCTAGTGAGGAGGAGGGTTTGGGGGTTAGGGTTTGGGGGTGCACTGGTCTTGAACCCTAAACCCTAAACCCTTGTTGATACCACCGTCAGAGTCGGCAGGCTTAGCGTCACAATGTTCCCGATTTTGAAACACTCGCTGAAGCCTGGCACTTTCCCTCCTGCGGCAATTCTTCACAAGCCTGGGCGTCCTCTGTAGCCTCAAAGGGCCACGGACTCATCAAGCTGCCCTACACCCTAAACTATAGGGTTTATATGGTTTAGGGTTTAGGCTTTAGAGTTTAGGGTTGACACTGCTCCATGAGTGGCCTGCGTTCCCCCCCTTGCCTGTCATCTCAAGCTCTGGATGGAGTCTGACTTTCCCTCAGAGAAGCAAATTCAGGGTTTAGGGTTTAGGGTTTAGGGTTTCGGGTTTCGGGTTTCGGGTTTCGGGTTTCGGGTCTAGGGCAAAAGCTGGGTAAGCTGGGCTCTTGCTTCAGAGCTTCGACCATGCCGTACATACCCTTCATGGTTTAGGGTTTCGGTTGAAAGGATCTGCGTTCCGCAACAAGAACCTCCGCAACAAGAACCTAAACCCTAAACCCTAAACCCTAAACCGCTCTAGGACTCGACAAGTCTTCCGGGTTTCCCTGGGATCTTCAACTGCCATCTCTGAAGCCATACTACACACAGCATGACCTGTATACATGTCTTCTACTTTATGTACTCGAGTATGTAGTATCGCATATTATGTGTATGTATATATGCATATAGGTGTACATATCTATATATATATGTATATATATATATATATGCGTGTTTTTGCTTCTTCACAGAAGTTATTTGCTTATGCATATATGAAAGTCGCTAGAGTCCGAATGCACAAGCCCCCCTCATTCGCAATCCCTAACCCTTGGACCCTAAACCCCGAACCCTAAACCCTAAACCCCAAGCCCAAACCCTAAACCCTACACCCTAAACCGCAAACCCCAAACCCGAAACCCCAAACCCGAAACCCTCAACCCGACCCTAAACCCTAAACCCTAAACCCCAAACCCAAACCCAAACCCTACACCCCAAACCCGAAACCCCAAACCCGAAACCCTCAACCCGAAAACCCCACCCCTAAACCCTAAACCCTAAACCCTAAGCCCTAAACCCTAAACCCTAAACCCTAAACCCTAAACCCTAAACCCCAATCAAACTCCCATGCATGCCGCGCTTCGTTTGGCGGGGCACTCACGGGACTGGGGCTCGGCATCACCCGGTTGAACGCCAAGTTGTTTCCGCCACTGCTGGCGCGCTGGCCTGTTTTTTCTGGGAGGGTGTAGGGTTTAGGGTTTAGGGTTTAGGGTTTCGGGTTTAGGGTTTAGGGTTTAGGGTTTAGGGAGATTTCGGGGTTCGGGCAACCATCATATGGAGAGCTCACCATCCGCTTGCCCGAGATCTGGCCCCTATAATAGACCCCAAATCGTAGGAATAATAGTAGAAATCGTAGTACCCCTTCTAATAAGGCACCCTAAACCCTAAATCCTAAACCCTAATTTCGCAAACCCCCCATCTTGCCTTCGCCTATGCGAAGTGGTGACATCGCCGGCAGGCCTGCAAGATGAGGCGGGACCGGCGCCTCTAAATCCTGCTGTAAATCCTACATCTTGGGATGTTCCCCCTTAGACTAACAGCCCTTAGTAGGGATTATAGTACCCCTATAATCTGCCCTATTAAGGGCTCTACATCTTGGGATGTTCCCCCTTAGACTTACAGCCCTTCATAGGGATTATAGTACCCCTATAATCTGCCCTATTCCTCCTTAGACGAACAGTCCTTCATGGGGATTATAGTACCCCAATTATGTTCCCTATTAAGGGCTCTACATCTTGGGATGTTCCCTCTTAAACTAACAGCCCTTAGTAGGGACACCCTACTATCTTCCACACTAAGGGCTGCTAGTATAAGGGTGAACATCCCAACCTAAATCCCACAGGCATCCCCTGCCCATTCGAAGAGTTGCCGTTGCGCCTGCTGCTTCAGGAGAATCCATCTCAGACTCACCGGCCAACTCGGCCTGTGCACCGTCCAGCGTGAGGACTTGCTTCGGGGTAGCTCTAAACCCTAAAGCCTAAACCCTAAACCCTAAATTGCTCCTTGCCTTCATCTGCTTGATGTCCTCATCTTCCTCCTCCGCCATCTCGTTAGGCATCGGGTACATCTGCGACGCCCTTAGATGATGTGCGGGGGTGTTCGCCCAACGCCGTGGTTTATCCCTCGCCCTTCGATCTTGCGCTCTCCCTTGCCCACTCTTGCGCGATGCTTTTTGTTGCAAAGCCGCTGTGTTTGTAGCACATGCTATTGCCGCCATCGTTTACCTACAAGGTCCCCCAGTTAGAACAGCATCCATACGCATAACGTCCACCGCAGCCGTCTGCTTACCTCATCTTGCCTGAAGGCTCATGGGGAGCAAAAAAAGCAAAACAGAGCTATGACCAACTCTAGCAAATAAAACTTCCCTCCACCCTATGGGAAGCTGCTAGAAAAAATGATTAGGGGGCCCCCGAAACAGCCCCCGGTTTCCGGGGTTGGCACACCTAGGTTGACTAAACCCTAAACCCGAAACCCTAAACCCTCAACCCTCAACCCTCAACCCTAAACCCTAAACCCTAAACCCCAGCCCGTGGAGCTGAGGGAAGCACGAGGAAGCGGTACTGTCCGTAGACGTCTGCCGCTTCCAATCCGAGTACATGTCCTGGAACTCCAGCGCCTCCATGGCTGTCATATTCTCAGGATTTTAGGTTTAGGCTTTAGAATTTTAGGGATAGAGTTTAGGGGCTTTGGGTTTAGGAGTTTGGGGTTTGGGGTTTGGGGTTTAGGGTTAGGGTTTAGGGTTTAGGGTTTAGGGTTTAGGGTTTAGGGTTTAGGGTTTAGGGTTTAGGGTTTAGGGTTTAGGGTTTAGGGTTTAGGGTTTAGGGTTTAGGGTTTAGGGTTTAGGGTTTCGGGTTTAGAAGGTTAGGGCTAAGATGGTTTTAGGGTTGGAGGCCCAAAACCCTATCCAGTCCCCCCCTCTGCCCTCGGAACTTCAGCTGCCAGAGGTTCTCATCTTTTCAGGGCTTCGGCTTTAGGGGTTTGGGGTTTCGGGTTTAGGGAACCCTGGACCCACCTGGTTGGGGTCCAGCATGAAATCCACTTGGCCTGACAAAGGCCGGCTTGCAGTAGGGCTGAGTTGAGGCTTTAGAGAAATCCTTTCCGCCCGCGCATAAGTGGCCAATGGGATTTAGAGCCTGGGGTGGCAGGAGACGGCTTGCAACTCGGACCACTGACTGCGAGTGACTACTGTGGGTCAGCACCCTCAACCCTAAACTCTAGCCCTAAACCCGAAAGCCTAAAGCCTAAACCCTAAAGCCCTGAACCCCCTGAAGTAGCCAGCCTTCTCCCTCAGGACCACTTTGGGAGCCCGTAGCCCCCGTGTCCTTCGAGGGAAACTGACATCAGTTCCTAAGGGTTAAGCCCTGGTTTAGGGTTGAGGGTTTGGGGTTAAAGGTGAATGCTTCGGCTCACACATTTCGCCAGAGACTAGGGATGTTGCGAGTTCAGTGCTGCGAGACACTTCTAATTTTTCTTCAGGTTGGCTACGAAGGTGTGTGTGTGTGTGTCACTCTTGAACGACTTGTTTCGCAGGAGTGGAGTTCAGGGCTGCGGGGCGCTTTGATCTCAACATGGGGTTCACGAAATTAGGGGGACCACAATTTTGACCCCCCCCCCAAGTAGCAGGATTCCCTTATAATGAGCACCCTAAACCCTAAACCCTAAACCCTAAACCCTAAACCCCTGATCATATCTGGCTTCCATCCCACCTGTCCTGAGCCAGACCAGGTTCATCATCCTGGCACCCAGGGTTTCTGGAAGGGTGCTCCAGGGTTTAGGGTTTAGGGTTTTGGGTTTAGGGTTTAGGGTTTGGGGCTTAGGGTTTAGGGTTTAGGGTTTAGGGTTTAGGGTTTAGGGTTTAGGGTTTAGGGCTCCAGTCATGTCAACATGAGGGGGTTTCCGACATTACGGGCTCACTGCCACTGCTACTGTTGCCGGTGCTATTACCAGAGCTGTTAAATGCACTATGTACTACTGCCATTAAATGCGCGATTATGATGTCGGCTACAATTGAGGTATCATGGGATATCATGTGACACGCAGTCCTGCCGGACACGAAGGGCGGTTCGCTTGCCTCCACCTGGCATTGGGGATGTTCAATCCGCTCCGCCGCTGCTGTCGAACCCACAGCGCATCTCCATTCAATACACACGTAGTGCATGCAAGCATGGGGGGGGGAGACCATCATCTTTGGCATCTGGCTTTTCAACCGGCCCTTTCTTCTCTGCACCTGGCGCGCAATGAGAGCGGACGCTCAAATGATGCACAGGTCAAGGACTGTTGCCGCCCAGCCTGCGCTAAGATTCTTCGGGTCCCCTTTGAGGATATCACTGGAGATGTTGAGTTCAGTAGGTTCCCGATGCTTCTCCTTGACAGGAACTTGACGATCTCGCCGTCTAGCACCATCAAATTCACGACCCGCAGTTGTGTTAACGTGGAATTTCCCTACACCAACACCACCCTGCACGCCTGGGCCCTAAACCCTAAACCCTAAACCCTAAACCCTAAACCCTAAACCCTAAACCCTGTTAAGCCCACAATGCTCCCTTCTGAGCTTAGGGTCGCCCTGCATCTAGGTCCGCTGCAGGACTTCCGCCAGCCGATTTAGATTTTTCTCATACTAGCATCTGATTCTACTGTCATATTACTATATGTTTGTAAGATTCTTATGGTATTCTATCAAACTAATATGTGTTTATAAGATTCTTGTGGTCTTCTATGAAAATCACACGCCCAAAGCCAAGATTCCGCATCAGGCTTCTTCGCGGCCATAATCCAAGGATGGCTCATGGCAACCTGTTTGCAAAGGTCTGGTTTAGACTTTAGGGTGTCGGGCTCAGAGTTCAGGGAATAAAGTTTAGGTTTAGGGTTTCGGGTTCAGAGTTCAGGGATTAAAGTTTAGGTTTAGGGTTCAGGGATGAGGGATTAGGGTTCAGGGTTCAGGGTTTAGGGTTTAGGGTTTAGGGTTTAGGGTTTAGGGTTTAGGGTTTAGGGTTTAGGGTTTAGGGTTTAGGGTTTAGGGTTTAGGGTTTAGGGTTTAGGGAGATCTGAAGCAACAGAAGGCATCCCATGGCTCGAGCCTTCGCTGTGGTTCTTTTTCGAGGCTTCCTGTTGAGGCAGCCTTTAAGGAAGGCAACTGTCTTGGAATCGATCGACACCTGGGCAGGAGCAGCTTCCACACCCAGCTTTCGCACATGTTGCGCCCATGACTTGAAAGCTCCTTCTGACTTCGCAAGTAGGGTGAGTAATTAAAGCGGGCTATGGGGGCTTTAAAAGGGGATTCTAGGGGGTACTATAAGTAGACGTCCTAAGCCATACTACCTTCGAAGCACCGGCTGAAGATTCCACAAAGCACGCAAGCTAGCTGCAGCCGTGCCGCATCACTGTCCCACTCGATGGTGCCGTGTAGGACTGTCAGGAGGATCTCGCGGACGTTGTTGCCATCAAAGGGGTAGCGCCCGTAGAGCGCAAAGTACACCAAGACGCCAAACGCCCACCTGGGTTTCTGCTTCACTATTATGTGTGTATATATATATATATGGAGAGAGAGATATAAATATATATATATATATATACTAATATATTTATTTATTTACTCATTTATTTATTTACTTATTTACTTACTTGAAACGTTGAGTTCAGCCCTGGCAAACTGGAGACGTCAGGACTGGAAAGACTCCAACAAATCTCGAACAGGGACACCGTAAAGCGTGGACACCCCCCTACTCCCTCCCCCTAATATGAAGCCCCCCCTTACGCCCCAATATTGAATACTCCCATTAGAGTTCTGTTATAGTATGGGAAGTACTTAAAATTAGGGTAGGGGGGGGTTAACATTAGAGGGATGGGATTTTAGCCCCTCCTTCCATGCCAGGAACAGTGACTTGAGGGTTCGTACGTGTACGGTTCGACTTCTACATGGTTCCAATACAAACCCAACCAGAAATACGGATCGGAAACCGCTTTGGAAGTCAAAAGCCTCCAAAACGTGAACTCGCCCGCAGGTCCCTGCAGTCCACGCTTCAGCTTTTTTTCGCGCAGGAAACCTCAAAACGCAAACTCTCGTGTGTTGAGCTGACAATTCTCAAACACCGAACCGACCCGTGTCCACCCTAGGCTTAGGGTTTGCGGTTTAGGGCTACGTAATGTCATTATTGTTATTAGTTGTTGTTGTTGTGTTCTTGTTGTTGTTCATATTGTTCTTGTTTCTACTAATAATGGCTATTCACAGTACTATTACGAGTTTAGGGGTTTAAGAGCCGCGCACCAACAGCAGTCCAAGTGCCCGTCCAAGCCACATATCTACGCGGTAGTCATAGCGCTGCCCAACAAGTTCTGGCGCCATGTATTGCGGCGAGCCTGATATCTTGTCGAACATCTCTCCACGCTGAAACCTGTCGAGGATTCGAAGCGTTGACAGAAACTGGACGCGCTGGTCAAAAAATGCCGTGCCTACTCGTTTGCTTGCAAAATCTCTCATGGTTCTTACCAGTATTATTAACATTATCATGGTTATTATCAATATTATTACGAGTTTAGGCTTTGTGCATGGCTGGAGGATCGGGGCTTGGGGCTGGGGATGGGCAGCGTCGAGACAATGGCTCGCCCTGTGCCATGAGAAGCAGATCGCGAGCCACGTTGAGCATGTCCATTCAGGGTGCATTATCATCAGGGTTATTGGCATACGACAATGAAGGACCCCCAATATAGACCCATAATAGTAGGATCCCCTTATAAGAAGCACCCCAGTAAGGTACCTCAATTTTCGGAAGCCCCCATTTGCTGATGTTTGCAAGTTGTCTATCATAGAAGTAGCAGTGATGATGACCATAGCAAGAACACTAGAGCTTCGGGTTTAGGTTGGCCACCTACCGTAATTGGCAACGCCGCCTTTTCAAGAACTTGAAAGAACTTCAAAAGCGTCCCAAACAACCCTCAACCCTAAACCACCCTAAACCCTCAACCCTAAACCGCGCGCGCAGAGCCTTGCGGCGATCCCGAAGTCGATGATTTTCACGACTGCCGTGGTTGACCACTCGGTCAGCAGCACATTCTCTGCTTTGATATCCCGATGCATGACGCCCTTGCTGTGCATGTAGTCGATGCCACCTGAGGATCTAGCGTATGCTTCCACCGCCTTAAGCGCAAGCTAGGCCAACCAAAATGTAAACTCTCTATTGCAGCTGAGGTGTCCGAGCAGTTGCTTTGCAATCACAGCGGTGTCGCTCTCAGAAAGCCGATCCATCTGTGCCGTGTGTCCAGCATAGACACAGCACGACACAGCAACACACAGCGAAGCGGTGCTAAGACTGATGCGGCCAGCCTCGTTGATCATTTCGAACAACTCGCCGCCACGGCACAGATCCATCACCACATAGAGGTAATGCGACGTTTCCTTCAACTGCTGCATTGCATCATGTTGCTTGTGGCACTTGAACAATCCAAAGCCAAGAAGCGTAGACGTCCCAAACCCGCACAATGTTCCTCAGATCAGCAAGGCCAAGCTCGCAACCACATGCCACGCAACGCCGCAACGCCGCTGGCGCATCGAAGCTCGTGAAGCTGAGCCGCGTGTGCTTCAGAGATCTGAGAAGTTCGACCTCTTTGCGGAACATGGCAAGCGAGTCGAGCTTTTTCTGCCCCTTCTCTCCTTTATCTTCCACCTGGCCAGGCCAGCAGGCTCTCGATGCCAGATCCGAACTCCGACTCATGTGCAAGTAAATTAGGGGGAGGGTTTAGGGTTTAGGGCTTAGGGTTTAGGGTTTAGGGTTAGGGTTTCGGGTTTAGGGTTTCGGGTTTGGGGTTTAGGGTTTAGGGCTGACGCCAAGTCAGTCGGGCTTAGTGAAGTCAGAAGGAGCCTGGCGCTCAGTGATCTTCACCGCGCGGAGCTTTTCAGGAAAGGCCTTGACCCTCACTTCCTTCACCTTCGGAATTGTCGCCATAGGATGCCAAAAGTGGGAGAGAATATCTTGGACTGTCTTGGATGGAGGTTTGTAAACCCTAAACCCTATAAACCCTATAAACCTAAAAACCTTAAAACCTTAAAAACCCTAAAAGCCCTATAAACCCTATAAACCCTATAAACCCTATAAACCCTATAAACCCTATAAACCCTATAAACCCTATAAACCCTATAAACCCTATAAACCCTAAAAGCCCTATAAACCCTAAAAGCCCTATGAACCCTATAAACCCTATAAACCCTATAAACCCTATAAACCCTATAAACCCTATAAACCCTATAAACCCTACAAACCCTATAAACCCTATAAACCCTATAAACCCTATAAACCCTATAAACCCTATAAACCCTATAAACCCCTTAAAACCCTATAAACCCTATAAACCCTATAAACCCCTTAAAACCCTATAAACCCTATAAACCCTATAAACCCTAACCCTTGGCAACTCAAAGAGCAAGTTTTGCTTCTCGAGGCTTTTCGGTTCTGGCCGATGAGACCTGGCACGCGCTCTCGCGCCTCTCCGAAGGAGCCACTGCCCAACACTGCTAAGATCTCGTACTTGTCGCCTTAGTGGTTTAGGGTTTAGGGTTTAGGGTTTAGGGTTTAGGGTTTAGGGTTTAGGGTGTAGGGTTTAGGGTTTAGGGTTTAGGGTTTAGGGTTTAGGGTTGTTGAGATTCGTTGGCGCTAAGCTTGCACTCGTGAAGTCACACGCACCCGGGGGCTCCAGGACCTCTGAGTGCTCGACGGATGTCCCCAGCACTGAGGGACAGCTGCACCTCACCCACCGGCCTCAAACCAGCTACGGTTTAGGGTTTAGGGTCTAGGGTTTAGGGTTTAGGGTTTAGGGTTTAGGGTTTAGGGTTTAGGGTTTGGGGGATTGGAATGCTCCCAGATGCTTGCAGGGGCTGGCAGGAGAGCAACGGTGAGCCACATCTCATTCAGGTTCCCCTGAAATAGATGCCGCTGATCATCGAATCAGTCATACGATCCCAAAATGGGGCCGGATACCCCTAAACCCCAAACAAAATGGGGCCGGATACCCCTAAAGCCCAAACCCTCAACCCCAAAAGCACTGAGGACCCCAGCGCTTGGAGTTTCGACAAGTCCCCCTTGGCCGGCGCGCTTTGCGGCTGCTTGCCGGCCTTCGCAGCACCTCGAGGAGAAGCAAAAGAACTCACAGGGCTTGTAGGTTGGGATGTTCCCCCTTGTACTAACAGTCCTTAAGAGGGATTCTAGTACCCCCTACTATAATCCCTACTAAGGACTGTTAGTATTAGGGGGAACGTCCCAATTTATAGGGCTTGAGGGTTTGGGGTTTAGGGTTTCGCCACACAGCTCCACACAGATTCGATGAACTCTTGTGGCGCCTGCCGGATTGCTAGCACCTCAGCAAGCAGCTGCTTGGAACGGGAGTAAATCTGCGAAAAACTGCCGCAGCGCCTAGCATGAAGACACAGAGAGCCCAGCTATGATTGAACCAAGAAGACCCAGTGAGCCCAATATTGCCCTTAATCAGTATCAAAGTTAGAGCATTCTCCCTGTTATTGGGCTCCCTGATGAAGCTGCTGACTAATCTAGCCGAGCTTCCATTTCCAATGGCCTGCCCCTTGGGATCTGAGAGGTTGGAAACGATGGGATCGGGAGCCTGCGACGCACACATCAACCGACTGACTCTGATGATGCAGGGGTTGGTATGGCTGTCAGTGCTACCGGTCAATACTCAAAGGTTCCAGCAGATCTGCTGATTCGTCCAGCTCGGGACTTCTGGGGGCGGGATCTTCACATCGCCTAAAACATTTGAAGCCTAAACCCTAAACCCTAAACCCTAAACCCTAAACCCTAAACCCTAAGCCCTAAACCCTAAACCCTAAACCCTAAGGTCTGAAGCCCCGGAGCGCAAGCCCCAAAAAACCCGACACGCCCGGCGCCCCTCTAAAACACTCGAAGTCACCCGAACAGTCCATTTACCCGAAAAGGCCCCCAAAACACCCTAAAAGCCCCCCTAAACCCTAACCCCCCCCCCCCCCCCCCCAAAAAAAAAAGACTAATAATAATAAAATCATGAAAAAACAACCCTAAACCCTAAACTTGTAATCCTAAGCCCTAACCCGAAACCCGAAACCCTAAACCCTAAACCCTAAACCCCCCAAAGACCCCCACAACCCCCAAACACTTCCCCTAAGGCGCCTTGGTAGCCTTGGGCTGCGCCGTCTCCACTCGGCTTTTAGAGCCGCAGCCGCCCATTCCTCCTTTGCATACGGTTTAGGGTTTGGGGTTTGGGGTTTAGGGTTTAGGGTTTAGGGTTTAGGGTTTCGGGTTTGAGGTTTGGGGTTTGGGGTTTAGGGTTTAGGGTTTAGGGTTTAGGGCCTAGGGCCTCGGGTTTCGAAGGCTTTTAAAGGGTGGCTTTGGGGAGTGAAATTTTGGGGTTTGGGGTCGAGAGCGTGCGAGGGGGAGCATTCTCATGAGTACAGTGAGTAAGCTGTTTGGCCTAACCCCAGGCCTGGACAAGGTTCAAGGTTTAGGGTTTAGGGTTTAGGGTTTAGCGCTAAAAACCCTAGACGCCAAACAGACCAAGCCCCCCAAAACGCCCTACGCCTAAAACCCAAAACCCAAAACCCCAGCTCCCTGAACTCCCAACCGCCCCTGCACAGGGTGCACGTCTGAATGATAATGTAGGCGGCCCGACTTTAGAGAACCCCACAACACTTTAAAGAGGAGATGTTTGAGGCCCCGGCCAGTCTCAAGTGCCAAACATACAGAGCAGATCCGAGAGAGTGATAAGATCTCACCCTGGTGAACGGCTGCGGACGGAGGATCCTGTTAGGGTTTTCGGTTTAGGGTTTAGGGTTTAGGGTTTAGGGTTTAGGGTTTAGGGTTTAGGGTTTAGGGTTTAGGGTTTAGGGTTTAGGGTTTAGGGTTTAGGGTTTAGGGTTTGGTAGGGTTTAGGGTTTGGGTAGGGTTTAGGGCCTGTACAGCCATGACTCAGGATCCTGCAAGTAGGCTCTTGTGACCTACATGTGCCCTGTAAACCAGTCGCCCTCTAAACCCCACGTGCGGACCCCTAGCCTTAGCCAATAAAGCCCAAAAAGCCCGCAACAACCCTAAACCCTAAACCCTAAACCCTAAACCCTCAACCCTAAACCCTAAACCCTAAACCCTTAAAACCCGGCAGACGGTCAGGTGCTTTTGCTGCTTCTCAGAGCAACTTTGGCCCTTGGGAGCATCCTCGGTTCCTTACAGAAAGTGCGTCAATGTATAGCTTAAGGGCCCGGAAGTATGGACGATACCATATCATGTGTGGGTCTCTTGGAGCATGTGTCTGTCTGTAGCCCTAAACCCTAAACCCTCAACTGCGTACATGCATATTTTGGCACTTTGGTGCTTCTTGGCCGTGGATGACGGGCTTATTGCGCCGTTTTCTGGTGCCTTTGCCTACACTTCCAGGACCCTCGACTCAGTGGCTTGCCGCTTGGAGCTCTCGGCCTGGCACTGTGTCAGTGCAACTCTATACTATACTATAGTATACTATACTATACTATACTATACTATACTATGCTATGCTATGCTATGCTATACTATGCTATACTATACTATACTGTACTAGACTATGCTATACTATGCTATGCTATGCTATGCGATACTATACTATACTATGGTAGTATTTACGACGATATTCGACAATAAAATGCAAAACTATGCAACATAATCGAGTACATTCCATCACAAGCCGTCGCACTGTGCTTGGGAGGTACGCGCCAATTTTTGCCAGCAGCCGGGTATCTACTTCTGATCTTTTTCGTCCTCGGCTGCATCAGGACTCCTTCGCCGGCAGATGTACAGGCAAGGTCCGAAGGGCTCCTCCTCAAAACGAGCTGCAACAGAACCTGGTGTCGACTCTCGACGCATTGCGGGTGCGCGCCTCGGGATGGAGCTTGATCACCTCATCGATCTCGAAGTGACCTGCCAAGTGACGGCGCCGCGCGGGCGTATTGGAGACCTGAGGCCCCAACGCTGAACAGAGCTAAGCAGGGCTAGGTGGCTGTGACCTGCCGGAGCTACCAATCCACTTGGGCAGCTCTGTGGATTCCAACCGACCGCAATGCTGATAGAGCACTCTTGGCATCCGGCCATCAAGCACATACCGTTCACGCAGAGCACATCCGCGAGTCCTTGGATGTAGCTGGCTGCCTGCCATGACAGTCTCTCGGACACTATGCACGCCAAACGCAACGACTTACAACATCTTACAACAGACATTCCGCACATTCTTGTCTCCACTTCGGGCAGACTGCGGTGAAGGAAGGAAACGGGACTGCCATTTGGCAGTTCCAAGGCCAGCCCATATTAGCATGCTACGCTCGAAGCAAAGACATTGCTTGTGTCGAGATGTGTCCCTGTGGCTGCCCACAAGTACTTGGAGGTTCAGGGTACTTACAACCCCATTACAACTGCACTGATAAGCCCCCTAAGTCCCCTAAGTAGGTTGTAAGTCCAATTATAACTGGGGTTATAGGTACCCATGAACCTCCAAGTACACACCCAGTGCCGGTCACATCAACGTGCAGCAGCACTTCTTGTTGCGGACTTCCTGACGGCAGCGCTCAGGAGTACGACGAGAAAGTCGGCAAAGCTCCCCGAATCCACACTCCGAGCTTCAGAAGCGCGACCACTGCACACAAGAGCGAAACTTTTTGCTCGGTACTTTTCTCCCCATAACCTCCTACTACTATCATATGATATAACAGACTCGAATATAATTTACTATAGTATACTATAACATACTACAATAAACTACGAGAAGCTACACTATACTATTGCATACCACAATATACTACAAAATAATACACTGAACGATAGAAAAAATATACAGAAATTTTTCATATAGTATACTGTGATTGCGGGCTCTCCTCCTTCGCGCGCTCCGGCTTGGTAGGGGCCTCCACCACCTCACGGGGCCATGGCTTGGGCACCTCGAGGCCCTCATGTGAGAAACTTTTCAACGCTTCAGGCCCCGCTTCTGCTGAGTGCGGCGCCTGCGATCGCGCAAGGGGCCTGAGCGCCAGGCGCCACCTCGTGTTTAGGGAGGGCTCTGCTGTAGACGCTTGAGCAACGTTGCAGGACAAGGGCTCATGCAGACCTTTAGAAGCATCAATTGTTGCTAGGACCGACGGACACATCATCTGGTGCCTTTCAAGATGACTGCAATTTCCCAAGGTATGACACAACGGATGGAGCCAGGCAGTCAGACGGGCAGATGAACAGCGGGACAGACGGACGGAGACCCAGCGAGTGTGATGAGTTGCATCCTTGGGATGGGTCGCAGTGGAACTCGCCAGTCCTATGCAAAGTTTGCATGCGTTGGGCGCAACGGAAAGGAAGAGGCGCTGGGGTTTAGGGTTTAGGGTTTAGGGTTTAGGTTCTAGGGGGGGGGTGGACATGCTTGACATCTCATGGCTGAGGAAATCAGCATTGAGCACAGCCCCTTGTGCGCGAGCCAGGGGTGTCTCCCCGGCAACCCTGACTCTTTCGGCCTTGACATTTAAACCCTTAAACCCTAAACTCCTACACTGTCCTACACCCTAATCAACCCTCACCTTAAACCCTAAACCCTAAACCCTAAACCCTAAACCCCAAAGCAAGGCAAAGAATGGTCTCGGGATGTCTCGGCCGAGCTGCTCCGAGAAGGTCCATCTCAGCAGCTCCTGAGTTCCTCCTGCACAGGACAGGAAAGGGCTTTTAGGGTTTGGGGTTTAGGGTTTAGGGTTTAGGGTTTAGGGTTTAGGGTTTAGGGTACGGGGGCAACCGAAAGGGAACAGGGAAAGAAACCAACCCTCAACAGTTGCCTATATGGATTTCCCAGATCGAACCAGAAACAAGAACACCCACCCCTACGGGGACAGGATAAGGGAGAAGGGACGGGACTACTCCAACCCGTTAAACCCAACCCCAGGCGTACGTACTTTTTCAACAAAAGCTGACGGCTCTTGGCCATCTTGAGCCAAACAAGATTTCCGGGTTCATTGACCCTTCCAACCCCCAACACTACTCCTTTCTACAATACCAGTTGCAGCTCCGCACTCCCCCTGTCCTAGGATTTCCTAGGACACATTGGAGGTGCAGATCTTTTGGCCAAAAACTGCCATTAAGGCAGCAGCCAGCTGCTTGAAATGCACAATATGGTTTTACGTCATCCAGGACGAAATTATAGCACATTGGCTAAACCCACTAACCACAGAGAATCTTTTTCCATCATGATCCTCTTATCATTGAAGACTCTTCGGCCTTCTTTACCACAAACCGTGGTCTTCGCTACGCGAAAAACTACTGACTTCTACTATCAGGGATTTCCATACCCTTAATAGTAACCACCACATTGTCAGCACATTGGCTGTTCCAGCGCGCCTGTCTCCAGAAAGAGAAAAACCATCCCTTCATCCATACCATCCAATCACTTCTTTTTCCGATTGTTGGCAATTTTGAGGTGAAGTTGCAGCAGAATATACTCCAGGTCCGAAACTGTAAGAGCAGGATCCTGCACGCACCTTTGAATTGAGGATACCAATCCTTCTCTCTTTGCGTCCTCAATTGCTTGGCAAGATTGACCCAGCTCCGCATTCACAGTGGTAGACGCTGGTGCATCCGCATCAGATGGACGATCCTTTTCCTCAGGACCTTGCACTATTACCACCTCTTCCTTTTTGGGACTTTGACTTTTCTCCTTCTTCTTTGTCTTTCCACCGACATTTGACTTTGTGCGCATTTTCGAGGCTTTTTCCACTGCAGAGACCACCACATTGGATGATGATCCACCCTTCTCAATGATCGCCGGCATCTTCTTCGGCTTTGGAACCATGAGAGTGTAAGGATCTTCGATAGCTGCAGCTTTCCTCTTCTTTTTTTACCTTTTTCATCTCCCCCTCAACGGCAACCTCCGTCTCCGAAGTCTCAACCACTTCTTTTTCGGCAGGAATATCCTTGCTGGACTCCCTTTCTAGGGACCTCTTTTTGCCTCTTTTGGAATCTTTCTCTTCTCCCAAATTGGCTCGCTCGTACCATATCCTCAGGTCATTGACCCATTCTTCCACCTCCGCGAGCGAAACATCATACGACTTCACCACTTCGTGAAGTTCCAGCACGGACAACATACCATTGGTCCACGAAACCCATTCTTGATCCATTTGGTCAGTATCTCCAGTGAACTTCAGGAGTTTGAACAATGGGTCCGCCTCTGCTCGAGCCAAATC